AAGCCAAAACAACACCCATGTACCTGGCTGAGAGGTTGAGCCTAGGGAGGAGAGGAGGGGGTTAGAGGGTTTGGTGTGAAGATAGCAAAGCCAAGGAGAGGGGAAGGGTGGGTATCCGGCTAAGGGCTTAGGAGGAGGCAGAATGGTAGGCTTTGACAGGTGGCTCCGTAGATGGAAGAAAGAGGTGAGGTGAGTGTAGATGCAGGGGCGTGTGTAAGGGCTCTCACAAGGGTTTTAACTGATAAACTCGGTAAAGCTGGAGGTTAGGTTCTCTGCTGGTCCCTGGTGTTCTCTGTTGATCCCTGGGAGCATCCAGGTATGCCAGTGGTGAAGCATCCTGGTGTAGGATTTGCTGAAGCCCTATCCTGCCCAGATGTTTGTATTTTTTTTGTACGTACAGCTGAGCTGAGTGTAGAAATGGAACTAGGTGGACTGGGACTTTTTAACTGAGAGACTGCCCAGGGGTCAGTGACAGCATGAGGATGTGGCAGTAACCATGACAGGCTCCTGCCCTTAGGGACTCACAGACATCCGTTGTTCAGCACAGGTGCCTGGCAGGTTAGCTGAACACTGAGAAAAAGCAGTAGGAGAGAGCCTTGAGTTGAGGAACACTTGGGGGTGGTGAGAGATGAGGTGAAGCGGTTGTTAGAGGTGGACTCTGACACCTGGAGATAATGTGAGTCATGCAGCAAGGGTCTAGGGAAGGTGAGTGGGCAGGGTGGCCCAGAGAAATGCTTGGTGGCGGGGAGAGTGTGCCATGTGGGTCTGGCTTGCCTAAATCATGTTCCACTCAGGCTTTTGTCATCCCCTTCCCCTCCGCCTTCAATAGAATGTTCAGCCCTCAGTCCACATCCTGCTGGTGCCAATGGCAGCAGCATTTGGTAGAACCAATCCCTCCTTTGTTGAAGTTTTTCCCTCCTTGGTTTCCAGGGCCCCACATTCTCTTCCTACCTCTCTGGTCATGCTTCCTCATGGTCCCAGCCTGTTAATTTTTGTATGTGCCAGAGCCCTGGCCTTGACCAGGCCCAACCCTGCTTAGCTTCTGAGATCAGAAGCTAGACTGACCTTGACTTCTGTGTCCTCCCTCCCTTCTACTATCTTCTGGCTTTAGGACTCTAAATCTCATCTGTATTCTGATAGTCACTGCATTACTTTGTATCCCAAACCTTAGTCCCTGCACTTCAGGCTCCAGCATTCTTCCTCCTTGCCATATCCACCAGCATGTTGCAGGGGGAGGTTTGCTAAGAGACGTCTCAAAGTCAGAATGTTCCAAACTGAGTCCTTGACTCTCGTCCAAAACTTGTTACTTCCTTATCCTCACCATTGCAGTCAGTAGTAGTTTTATCCTTCCTCTGTTCAGGCCCCCAACCTCAGAGTTGGCCTTGACCACTACTCTTTGTCATATCCACATCTGCAACATCAGCAAGTCCTGTCTGCTGTCTTTAAAATCTTTTAATGTGGGGGCTGAAGGTACAGCTCGGGGGTAGAACACAAGTTTAGCATGCCTTAAGTCCTGGGTTCGATCCCCAGCATAACAACAAAACACCAAAAAACAAAACCAAAACATAAAATCTTTTAATGTGGTTCAGTGGCAGAGTGCATGCCTAGCATGTAGACAGCCCTGGGTTCCGGCCCCAGCACTGCCCACCACCTCCCCACCACCCAAAAAAAAAGAAAAACAAAATGCGCACACACACACACACACACACAGAGATCTATATTAACTCTAAATTGGACATGGTGTCATGTGCCTGTAGTTCCAGTTGCTCTGAAGGCTGAGGCAGGAGGATTGAGGAAGATTGAGACCAGGTTGGGCAGCATAGCGAGACCCCGTCTCACCAAAACAAAACAAAAAAAGACAACAAAAAAACCCACTCTATTAACCCCTAAGAAATCCCTTAAGTACCTTAAGTAACATAATGTAATTTGTACTTGGATCTATGTGTATGTGTTTGAGCCCATACATACATACTTTTTTTTTCCTGGCAATACTGGGGTTTGAACTTAGGGGCCTCACACTTGCTAGACAGATGCTCTTCTACTTTGAGCCACTCTACCAGCCTTTTCTTTTGTTGGGTATTCTCAAGACAGGGTTTCATGGACCATGAACTGTTTATTTGCTGGGGCTAACTTTGAACCATTCCTGATCTCTGCTTCCTTGGTAACTAGGTTTATAGGCATGAGCCACCAGCACCTGGTGCATATGGACCTGGGGATATAGCTCAGTGGTGGAGTGCTTGTCTAGTTTATGGAAGACCCTAGGTTAAATCCCAAGCACCAAAGGAAAAAAAGAAAAATTTACTACATTAAAAAAAAAGAAAGCTGGGTGCCAGTGGCTCAACCCTGTAATACTAGCTTCTAAGGAGGTAGACATCAGGAGGATTGTGGTTCAAAGCCAGTTATCTTGAAAATACTCAGCTGGTGGAGTGGCTCAAGTGGCAAGAGCACCTGCCTAGCAAGCATGAGACCCAGCATTCAAACTCCAGTTCTGCAAAAAAAACCTCCCACATGTACAAAACCTAATTCCCCAGCATCTGTAATTTGTATGAGGAAACAGAGTAATAGTAGGTAGTTGAGCATTTTTGGTAGACTGGGTCTGAGTGAGCCATTGGTGTGGCCTGCAGAGCCCAGGTACTCACTCCAATGCCTCTGTGGCTGAGAAGTAATGAAAAGTTGCTGCAGGTGCTTTATAGAAACTAGGTCCATGCCTGGGCTCACTGGGCAGTTGGAGGACCATTTGACCTCAGGATCTGTGCTAAGACCTGGAGGGAGGGAGAGTGGTATGCTGGGAGTACAGTGTGGAGGGGGTGGGGCTTTTGAGACCAGGAAGGTGATCCTTACCTATGCTTACCTGTGTTTACTGGGATCAGGTGAGGCCTCTAGCTCTGAGGAAGAACCTCCGTCCCCAGAAGACAAAGAGAATCAGGCTCCAAAACGTGCTGGCCCACACCTGCGCTTTGAGATCAGCAGTGAGGATGGCTTCAGTGTGGAAGCAGAGAGCTTGGAGGGTGAGTTGGAAGGGTGGCAGGGGAGGGAAGTATCCATTGGACTCCATGCTGACTCTCCTCTGGTCCTTCCTTCACCACAGGGGCATGGAGAACTCTGATTGAGAAAGTGCAAGAGGCCCGAGGGCATGCACGGCTCAGACATCTCTCCTTTAGTGGTAATGGTGGGGGGAACAACCACTGGGGGCTGAGATGATCCCTGAGGGCCAGGCGGGCCCTCCACATGATTGGTGTGTCCTCACTTCTCTCTTAGGAATGAGTGGCGCAAGGCTTCTGGGCATCCACCATGATGCTGTCATCTTCCTGGCAGAGCAGCTGCCAGGGGCCCAGCGCTGCCAGCACTATAAGTTCCGCTACCACCAGCAGGGAGAGGGCCAGGAGGAGCCTCCTCTGAATCCCCACGGTGCTGCCCGTGCTGAGGTCTATCTCCGGTGAGAGGTTGGGGAGCCCTGTGTGGGAATTAAGTTTAGACAGAAACCAAGACACTGGGCTGCTCCAAGAGTTATTTCTAGAGCTCACATCAGGAGCCCCACCTATTCCTCTTCTGCTGTCTTCAGCAGTATAGTCTTACGTTGTCTGGAAGGGGCCTAGGCTGCAAAGAGTGCATAGACAGCTTCTCTTTGAAGGAGTGTCTGTGACCCTCTTTCCTCTCGCCTGCAGGAAGTGCACCTTTGACATGTTCAACTTCCTGGCCTCACAGCACAGGGTGCTCCCTGAGGGGGCAACCTGTGATGAGGAAGAAGATGAGGTGCAGCTCAGGTCAACCAGGTAAGGGGGGCAAGCTCGGGTGCTGGGCCTGTTCTAAAAGGGTCCTAAAGAAGATGACAGGAATGAGAGGTCATTCCTGGATACCAGCTTGTGACATTGCTGTCCCCCACCAGACGTGCCACCAGCCTGGAGCTGCCCATGGCCATGCGCTTTCGCCACCTCAAGAAGACGTCCAAAGAAGCTGTGGGTGTCTACAGGTTAGTGGGGTTGGAGGGGTGCCCCTTGGGTGGATGGATAGGTTGCTTGGTGGAGGGCTTCCTGGTGACTGCCCTCCTACCTGAGCTCCCTTGTCCATCCTGCTCTGCAGATCAGCCATCCACGGGCGCGGCCTGTTCTGTAAGCGCAACATCGATGCGGGCGAGATGGTCATTGAGTACTCTGGCATCGTCATTCGCTCTGTGCTGACTGACAAGCGGGAGAAGTTCTACGACGGGAAGGTGGGCTCCACAAGGCCATGAGGCATGGGAAGGAGGTGGGTGAAGCAAGCAGGCCCCAGGGACAGAGTGCCTGATTCCCCATTCCATCCCTGTAGGGCATTGGGTGCTACATGTTCCGCATGGATGACTTTGACGTGGTGGATGCCACCATGCATGGCAACGCCGCCCGCTTCATCAACCATTCATGTGAGCCCAACTGCTTCTCTCGCGTCATCCACGTGGAGGGCCAGAAGCACATCGTCATCTTTGCCCTGCGTCGCATCCTGCGTGGTGAGGAGCTCACCTACGACTACAAGTTCCCCATCGAGGATGCCAGCAACAAGCTGCCCTGCAACTGTGGCGCCAAGCGCTGCCGTCGCTTCCTTAACTGAGGCTGAGGCTGCCTGCCGCAACCCCTCACCCTCACCCCCGCTGCCGTTGTACCCCTAACCTGTGGCTCCCTGGCCCCTCCTAGAGTGCCTCACCCCCACCCTCTCTTGTTTAGGGTGGAGTGGGCATGCAGGGGCAAGGGCCCTGCCTCCAGCCCTCCAGCCCACCCAGCAATCGCCCCCTTCCTTCCCTGGGGGACCCAGGATGTAGATACTGTACAAAGGTTTCTAAATCCCTTCTTTTCTATGCACTTTTTTATTTAAGAGGGTGGGGTCCCAGGCGGGAACCCTCCCACAATAAAGTCTGTCAATGTTTGGAGAGGTGGCCTTCACCCATGCATGGGCACATGGTGCTAGGGGCAGGTAGGAACTCTGCTTCTCCTTGTCCCATTCATCCTGATGCGGTGGGTAAGGCCATCAGTCAGAATGCAAAGTAAATGGGTCTGGGAAGGCTTTAGAGCCTGGTGAAGTCTGAGTGCCTGTGAAGGAGCTGTCCCCAGGTGGCTGGGTGGTCATGGGTGCACATTGGAAGGGGCGGAGGGAGAATGTCTATTGAGTCTTCTTGGTCCAATTAGGATTGTACTGCGAGAAATCCCCTTCATGCGGAAGCTTGTTTTATTGAGTAGTAGGTTCATTGCATCCTGGATCAGCCAAGCTTGGACAGCACATGCAGTGCGTCTTCCCGCCCTAGCTGGGCCAGGTGAGTGCCCAGCTGGCCTAGAGAGGCAGATGGCTCCCTTGCCACCACCATCTCAATCAGGGCCCGCAGTGGTGAGTGATTGGGCCGCAGTGAGTCGGCGAAGGTGGACCAGGCAGCAGGCAGCCCGTATCTTGCGGCTAGGTGACATGTGGTACCAGAAGTCACGCTCCCACCAGGTCCAGGCTCAGGGTCCAGCAGCATGATCAGCTCCTCCAAGAGGCGTGACGGGCTGTGACGCCAGACTTGGTAGCTCTGGAAGACGCATGGAGGAGTAAGGGGAGGAAGGGCAGCCTTCCAGGCCACCGTCCCTACTGGGCACTTCCCATCCCCTACTCACCCCTGCTGGGGAGTGGAAGCAAAGGGACCTTTCCCGGGTTCTCTATGTCGGTGGCCTGTAGGGCGTGTGGGGAGGATGAGCGCCAGGAGGTGGAGGGGTAGGTATCCGAGTCTCCACAAGCCACATCAGGCCAGGAGAAGGCGTTTTCTTTGTGCCTGAGCCTTTGCCAAGGGAGCAGGAGGGCCACTGCGGAGATCAGGAACAGAACCAGCACTAAGAGTGGGGCAACACTAGGTGGAGAATCCTTGCTCTCAGCTGTGAACGGAAGACTGCCAGCTGGTGAGCTGGGAGTGCGGGCCAGGGCTCCTCCACCGCAGGGATGACATAGGTCTGCGCCATCCGGGTTGCACTTCCCAGAAGAGCATTTTCTGAACGGGTGCCTCAAGTTGTTCCCGAAGTCATCGAACCCGCAGTTTTCTTCGAACTCGTGGTCTAGTGAGAGACCCCGACTCCAGTGGAGCTGCCCAGCCTGGCCCTCTTCGCTAGCCTGTCCTTTGCTGGTGCCTATTCCCAGTAGGTCCCGCCCTCCGCTTCTAACAAGGCCTCGCCCTTGCCCTCGGTACTGGCCTTCTGCTTTCTCCCCGCCTGCTGTCTAGCAGTGCCGCCCACACACGATCATCTACATAAAGCCCACTGTTTCCACCAACAGACCACATCCCGTGGTTGCGGCAGTAACTTTCCGCACAGACTCGGCTTACTATCCCTGTCCTATCCTACCTCCCAATGCCCCTGTCCTGCACCCCATAGACCTCGCCCCTTCCGCGGCTCCCCAGCGCCCCATATCGCCTGCGGGATTGATGCATGTACCCAGTACCAACTTCTCACCCAGACTGGGAGGTGGCCCGTAGAGCTCCAGACAGCTTCGGCAGGACTTGTTATCAGGGCTCCAGTACTCAAGGTGGATGCAGTACAGCGAGGCTTCTGGCAGCACAGCCTGGGCCACAAGTAGCAAGGCCATCTGGAGGAGGTGTCTGGGCCCCATCTGGGTAGGGCCTGCAGCCACGGGGATCTAGACCACAGGATTTTCAACCGCAGCACCTCAGCCTCACTTTCCAGGAAACCAGAGTGGAAGAAGGAAGTAGTGGATGTGGGGGTACAGGATGCCAAGGCTCCTTTGAAAGCCCGCAATCTATCCCAGCCTCAAGCCCAACTTCTCCCTTATTATCAGGCCCACAAGGACTCAAGATGGCTAAGGAAAACTCAGGGTTTCTACTACGTGGATTCATCTTATTTCTATGTCCTTGTGTTCCCACCCTCCCTTTTCCATCCCTAAAACAGGATAATAGCACCTGTCTCATAGGGCTGTTATGGGGGATTCAGAACTTATTAGAAATAAGGCGCTTAGAGATCAGCCTGGTAGTGCCCTTGTAGTCCAGGCTAAGGTGGCTCACTCGAGCCCAGGAATTCAAGCCCAGCCTGGTCCCGACATAGTGGAAAACAAACAAGGAGAGGAAAGAAGGAAAAAAGGACTACTTAAAACTGTATCTGACATACAGTAAACTCAATGTAAGTGTTAGGTATCAGCGACTCCCAGCTCAAATGGGCTTCAAGGACCCAGCCCTAACTTGCTGGGCACTTCCACTGGACTCTCAACCACCTCCCCTCCCTTCCTAATCCTAATCTCTTCCGTGTTAGGAATCATCCAACCTGCCACAACCTGGCATCTCCCCTAGAAGAACCCTCAAGTGGAAGAGCTGAGCTTTCAGGTAAAGGCAGCTTCACCCCATCAGTACAGACCTGGGCCCCAAGCCTCTTTCACGACTCGTCCGGAGTTCCTCTGCCAAGCTTGTGGTTGAGACACACACAAGCTTCCGCTTTTTGGCATATGCAGAGGTGAAAGGAAACTACAGCCCACAGGCAGGCAACAAAACCCCACTCACAACATGGGACTTTATTAGAGGAGGGCTGCTTGAAGAAGGTCCTTGTGTTGAATAAGGAGGTATAAGCTATTTTTTTTTTTGGTGGTAATAGAATTTGAACACAGAGCCTCATAACTGCTAGACAGGCATTCTACCACTTGAGCCACTCCACCAGCCCTTTCTCATCTCAACTGCCATCCACCTGATCTCTGCCTCCTGAGTAGCTTAGGATCACAGGTGTGAACCACTGGTACCCAGCTGTTCTTGGATTTGGGGTTCAGGCTAGTTTAGGGGTTGAGACTTAGGTACAGATCTCAAGAACATTCTTAGGGTGTAAGAGTCTTGAGACACTATGACTAGACTTAGGATCACGCTCATCTCAAGGAATAGGGGTCTTAGGGTCTAAGAAATCTGGGCAGCTTGGTCCTGAGGTACCTGCGCCTGGGTCCCCGCCCATACAGCTGCCGTCGGAGGTTCCGGGATATGGGTCGCAGGTGCATGAAGTTGCAGAAGCCACCTCGGGTACATTCCCTAAGAAGAAGACAGATGAATAGAGAAAGCCATTGTCATGGTCAACCCCCACATCGCACAGAAGAATTTGGAACTCCAAGTGCCCACCCCACCCTAGCGTTACCATACCCCATCTCGTACTGCCGACAGCACGATTCCCGGAAGTCGGTGACAGGAGACAGCTCAGCATGCACAGCCTGCCCATTGAACCAGCGGTTATTGAGTTCAGCCACTGCTCGCTCTGCATCTTCCTCCCGCCGGAACTGAGGGAAAGAAGCCAGGGTCAGCAGTGGAACTCCAGATCTTCAAGGGACTGGTTAGCAGCTCAAAGGCTGGACTGGATTTAGTGATGGACCTCAACCTGTGAGGTTTCAGTCGTGGCCATCAAGCACTGAAATGCCTCCACATCTAAGGGGTGGGAGAACAAGCACCTTAACGTAGACATTGCCAACGAGGTGGTCTCCGAGGTTGTCGCACACATTCATCTCCTCAATCTCTCCATACTTCTCCTGCAGTTCCGTGAACACCTCCTGCAGAAGACAGGGGAGGAACTCAGCTAAGCTCCCGGCGCACAGAAAACCCAGCTACCCCTGCCAACCCTCACCTCAAAGAAGTTATCATAGTGTTCCTGCACCTCCACGTCGCTCACGTGACCTGGAGGAGGGACGCAGGGTGGAATCAGGGAGTGGCTTGCTGGGAACTGTCCGCCCTGCCCCTGCCCTGCTTGCTCCCTGTACTTACAGTGCGATCCGTCTGCGGTTTGGGCCGTGTTCTGTGGATTCCGGTACAGGTTGAGCAGCACTATAGTCTGAACAGAATTTAAAAGGGGCGGGGCCTCAGCTCAGACTGCAGGGCTGCATGCAAAGTGGTTATGAGGTTTGGGGGTTGAGAGCTGCACCAGAGGGGCCTAAGCTTCACGAGTTTATTTGCGATGCTTGCCCCTAAGAAACAAGAGGTGGGAGGACCTGGAGACCATGGACAAGTCAGGGGCTTAGTCTGTACGAACGGGGGCGTGGCCGAGACCCTGGAAGAAGAGCCTACAGAGGTCTCCATCAGAAAGCAGCCTAGCAGTAGGATGGGCCTTAGGAACCCGGAAAAGGTGGAACCCCTAATGATGGATAGCAGAAGGGGGAGCGTGGGGAGGCGTTAGCCGGCGGCACTCTGTGCGGAGTCTCACCTGGCTGAAAGTCGGTTTGTTGTGAAGCCGGGAGCACCGGTCCCCGTGCCGGCAGGCCCCGATCTTAAAGTAAAAAGAGCAGTTAACCCTGGAAGAGGTGCAAAGATAAAGGTGAACTGAGGGCCGGGGAGGCCGGACACCCCAGAAACACCGCCCCGAGCCACCCCGCCAACAAGGACCCAAGTGCCCCGGCTCCCCGAATGGCCACTCCCCACGCCCATTCTCACTTGTCCTTCTCAGTCCCGAATATCGAAGCTAAATATTCAGCCATTTTTACCCGAACCCTCCAACTCGCCTCTCCTTACGTCACTTCCGTTTCTTGGGAGCGTTGGGAAGTGTAGTTTATGTCTGCAGCCCATGGCTTATCACGTGCTCAGAAACTCCCTACTGCGCATGCGTGCACGAGACCCCGCCCTCCCACGCAAACACCGGCTGGAGTTCCCCACCGCGCATGCGTACAGTGTTGTCGCTCCAAAAAGAAGAGACTACAAACTGCACAGAAACCTGAGGCGTCTCACGCAAACGTCCGTAGTTTAAAATAGCGAAGGCATCCAAGGCAGAGAGAATAAGCGTCACTGGTGAGTTGAGAATATTTCCACGTAGCCCAATAAATACAAAGAGCTTCGTAACCCTGCCAACTTGCTGACGGGAGCGGGGATGCCCCATTCACCAAGCCCACTGATAAACGTAGGTCTACGGTGTCGTGACAGGGGCGGAGTTGCTCGTGATCCTTGCACCTGTCACTTGGATCTTGCCCCTCAGAGCCTTGGGACCACCCGGTTCTAGCGCAATTATGAACTTGGAGCGAGTGTCCAATGAGGAGAAGTTGAACCTGTGCCGGAAGTACTACCTGGGTAAGGCCGATTCCCTGGAGTACCGGGGAAGAAAAGAGGGCTGGATTAGAGCACTTGAGGCAGCGGGCGGAGGGGTAAAGCCGCTGGAGACACCGATTCTCGGCCTGAGGGAAGGAGGAAGCTCAGGCCTCCACTTCTGGGTCCCGAGAGAGGAGGGTGGTTGGGAGGACTGGACTCCTGGGGGCTGAAAAGGAGGTGGTTGAGGAATCAGATCCCTGGATTCCAGGGAGGAGCCACGATCCCTGAGCCGCTGACAGCAGAAATCTGCAGTTGAACTTGGATATGGGAGAGGACCTTCCAAATGGGTTTTCCAGGTGGGAGTTAGGGGAGATCCTCATTGCTTTGTGACCCAGCGTGGATTTTTTTTTTTCCCCCCTTAGGTGGGTTTGCATTCCTGCCTTTTCTCTGGTTGGTTAACATCTTCTGGTTCTTCAGAGAGGCCTTCCTTGTTCCAGCCTATACAGAGCAAAGCCAGATCAAAGGCTGTGAGTTCAGGAAAGGGATGAGGGAGGCCAGCGGGTGGTGGCAACGGATGGTGGAGGCTCTAAAATGCCGATGGAGCTCTGTGGGAAAGAAGAAAGGATTGGTCTGGGCTGTCCAGAGAACAGCTGGAGGCCAACTCTCCTAGCTCCTGTTCGTCATTATAGATGTCTGGCGCTCAGCCGTGGGATTCCTCTTTTGGGTAATTGCACTCAGCACCTGGATCACCATCTTCCAGATCTACCGGCCCCGCTGGGGTGCCCTTGGGGACTACCTCTCCTTCACCATACCCCTGGGCACCCCCTGACAACTTCTGCACAGGCTGGTGACCTGCTCCTTCTCCCAGGGTGGGCTGTAAGCTCACCCTCAAGTCCCAGAGACTACCCATCTCCCATCTTTCCTGCTGATGTGCCCCAATAAAGGACACTAACTTTCAATATTGTCTTCCTGGAATCTTTTGGAGGTTATTATCATTCAAAACATTTACTGGGTAAATGTTTTAACTTAGTGCTTCATGTAATCTATGTATTTTCACCCCACTGACTACTACTCAAAACCCTCTGAAAACCAGGCACTGGGGGCTCACGCCTGTAATCCTAGCTACTCAGGAGGCAGAGATCAGGAGGACTGCAGTTCAGAGCCAACCCCTGCAAAAAGTTTGTGGGATCCTATCTCGAAAAAACCCATCACAAAAAAAGGGCTGGTGGAGTGGCTCGAAGTGTAGGCCCTGAGTTCAAATTCCAGTACCGCAAAAAAGAAAAAAACAAAACAAATAAAAAAACCCTCTGAAGTAGGATGAGGAGCCAAGAATGGAATAATGCTTCCATTTCTGGGGGCTGCTAGCCTATACTGATACTTGTGAATTAAAAAACATGACTTTCATCCAGGCACTGGTGGCTCACACCTATAATCCTGGCTACTCAAGAGGCAGAGATCAAGAGGATAGAGGTTTGAAGCCAGTCTCCGAAAAATAGTTTGAGAAACCCTATCTCCAAAAAAAAATAAAAAATCACAAAAAAGGGCTTGTGGAATGGCTCAAGATGTAGGCCCTGAGTTCAAACCCCAGTACCACAAAAACCACATGACTTTCTAGGCTGGGAATGTAGCTCAGTGGCAGAGCACTTGCCTAACATGCATGAACCCCTGGGTTTGAACTCCAGCACCATAAACAAAACAAAACATGACTTTCCTGCTCTGCACCTTAGTATTCTCATTAGACTGTTGATCGTGATGTACCTCCTGGGATTTACCTGGCGCAAGATGTATGTGGTAAGTGGAAGTTTCTCATTCTCTGAAGGAGGTGTTTTAGCAGTAGAAACATTCAAGGAGACTGAAGGCGTGGCTCTAGTGGTAGAGTGACTGCTTTGCAAGAGCAAAGCCCTGAGTTCAAACCCCAGTCCCACCAAAAGAGAAATATTCAAGAGCTTTCTCAAAGTAGACTTCTTTGACCTTTCTGTTTTGTTTTCTTTGTGTTTGTTTGTTTTGGTGGTACTGGCATTTGAACTCAAGGCCTGAACTTGCTAGGCAGGCTCTCTACCACTTGAGCCACTCCACCAGCCCTTTCCCTGACCTTCTTATTCAAAATTTCGATCCCTGTCTTGATGCTTCCTATGATCTCTATATTTTTTTCAAACTGTACTCTTGTTCCTCTTACATTTCACTTAAAATGTTGTGCTTATTTGTTTATTGCCCATCTTCCATCCTGTAAAGGATGAGCTCCATTAGGGCAAGGATTTTTTTTTTTTTTTTGATAGACAGGGATTTGATGTCAGGGCTTCAGGCTTTGCCAAAGCAGGTGCTCTATTGCTTGAGCCACGCCTCCAGTCCATTTTTTGCTGTGGTTATTTTGGAGAAGAGGGTTTCTCGAACTATTTATGCCTGGGCTGTCCTCCAACCACCGTCTTCCTGATCTCAGCCTCCCAAGTAGCTAGGATTACAGGCGTGAGCCACCGGAGCCCGGCGGATTTTTGTCTATTTTATTCACTGCAGTGTCCCCACTGCCTAGATGAGTCTGGCACACTTAGTAGTATTTGCTAAATGAATGAGGTTGTTCCTGCAAAAGACATTAGCAGGCAGCTGGACCCTTGTAAGTGCTCCATAAGAGGGGACCCAGTCTAACACCAACAGACTTCCTCTTAGGGACTGGGGGCTCCCATGATTAGCTAAATCCTGTAAATAGCTGAATTGGTGTTACTCAAACCTAACACTACAGGTCCCAGGAAGCCTAGCGGTGCGGAAGCCTCTCCCACCGAGCGGGGTGCGGCACTGGCAGGCGAGGCTTGGGGGAAGCTAGAACTACATCTCCCAGAAAGCGCCCTGGGCTGTCGTTGGTTTGTTTCCGGAAACTTGGCCCGGAAGGTGGACGTCAGGCTGGGAGCCGCTGGCGGCAGCTGTCAATTGGCCAGGGAATAAGATTGACGACCTCACTGACTAATGGGAACAAGCGGCTGCTGAAGGGGCCCGCCCACAGAGGGGAAGAAGGAGGGTGGCGGCTGCGGCGGCAGTCGCTGCTGGACATTGCTCAGGCCGGAGGTCCAGCTGTACGCAAGTTTGGCGTTCGCCTCTCCCTGCCCGCCTCCAGCCTCGGTTGGTAACCCTCAGCTACTTTGCGCTTTTTTGACCCAGCTAGAACGGACCTCGGATTCAAACCATGTTCCCGGTGAAGGTGAAGGTGGAGAAATCAGGTGAGAACCCCGAAGTCGGGGGCCTGTTGGGGAGCACCCGGCCGATCAGGGTAGACGGGCGATCGCGAAAAGGTGGATTTCCTAACTTCTCCCTGCAGCCGGTCTGACAACCGCTATGTGTGCCAGGCATCAGCGTTTGCTTGCCACCTTCACACCTTCCCGGCTGCGCTCCAAGTAGCTTTGAGATTGAATGGTGGTGATTCAGGCAGTATGGTGCTTTGAGACATGGGAGTCCAAAGCCCGCAATTCTGAGAAGGAACCTTTTATTGTCCCACCTCAGTTTCTCCGTTTTCCGCAGTGGTCATGAGTGAGCATTGCGCCATGAACCTGAAAATCACTATATTCCAGTAATCCTAAAACGTAGGAAGTGCTATGGGAACTAAGCTTAGGCAGATGGGGACCCAAGACTGGCATGCTACGGGCTCGGGGAGGGGGTTGGAGTGCATGGAATCCAAACAAAAAGATGGTAACGAAATGATGCTGGATGTTAGATGAGTTAAGAGTTATTAAAATAAGACTGAGCTGGAACTCAGTGGTAATGCCCTCGCCTAGCAGCTGAGGATTCCATCCTCAGCACTGTAAATAAATAAATAAGACCAGACTCGGGAGCAGTAGCCCCTGTAGTTAATAGCTATGGGGAGGTTGAAGCAGGAGAATTGCTTGAACTCAGGATTTCAGGGCCTGCCTAGACAACACAGCAAAGACCCTACCTCTTAAATTTTAAATTAAAAAAAAAAAAAGCAAGGCAGGAAAAGGTAAGGAGGTCAGGAGTGGGGCAAATGAGCGACAGACACGCGAGGCTATGTGAGGGACATAAGACAGACAAAGGCCAGCCGAACAAAAGAAATAGCCTCAAAAAAGTCCCAAAGTGGCAGCAATAGCAGGAGGGCAGTAAGGCTGGCAGAGTGAGGAAATGGAGGCAGAGATGATCGGGGAGGAAGACAGATCTTGTGTGATCAGGTGAGAAGTTCAGCTTTTGCTCTGAGGGAAATGGGTATCCCAGGGGAGGTGTTTGCCCCAAGGAGTGAATTAGTAAAGATGCCCCAAAATGCCAAAAACAAATTGAGTGGAAAAGCAAAGGGGGCCTGACCACAAATGGGGTTGGGGGAAAGGGCTGAGAGCACCAGGACTGTGGAGTCCTAGAGGACGATCAGGGCCAGTTTGAGTTTTTTAGGAAGATTCTCCCTGGTCACCTTATTGAGAGTGGATCAGAAGGGGAGGCTGAGGCTAGGAGTCAGGGGGAGAAAAGGACATGACCAGGATGAGCAGGGTAGGGAGGTGGTAGGTGGGAGAAACACTCAGGAGGCTAAGGAGAGAGGCCATGGGGTTAGTGGGGTGAGACGGGAGGGAGAGATGTTTCCATGGTAAGGCCAGTGAATGGGGACAGTAGGGTCACCCTTCCTGGGGGGCGGGGTGCAGGAAGAAGGGTAGGTTTAGAGAGACACAGAGGTCAGTGCAGGACCCAATGGAAAGAGCCTGTGGGATGTCCAGAGGAACTCGTGGAGACTATGGGATCTCCAAGTTGGGGTTCAGGAGAGAAGCCAAGTCTGAGGACAGAGATGCCGGCACCATCCATACTTTTGGCTCCTGCCCAAGACTCTTTGCTTCAGTCTCAGTTACGCCACCCCTGTCTTTAGCCTAACTCTGAGCAATGCTGGGCATTTCTGTGTCTTCTGGTGCCTGCCTGTGCACCTTTCATCATGCTTAGGCCCAGCCATGGAATTGGCCGAGGGGGAGAATATACACACAGAGCTGACTCCCACTTGGCACCCTCTCCCCCAGAGCTGGAAATGGTCAAAGCCCGGAACCAACTGGATGCTGTCCTGCAGTGTCTGCTGGAGAAGAGTCACATGGACAGGTTGGGACCTGCTCCAGCTGGGTTCAAAGGGCTGGGAGCCCTGGGTAGGTGTGGGTGGGACCCCAGAGGAGAAAGGTGTCTCACAGGGAAGCTACTCCTGGTTGTCCCACTCTGGGCCCTTGGCGTCCTGAGCCCACAGTTCTCTTCTGCTACCAGGGAGCGTCTGGATGAGGAAGCCGGGAAAACCCCCTCGGATACCCACAACAAGTAAGGTGTTCCGGTGGGATCTGGACAATAGTTTCCTTCATCCAAGCCCTGTCCCCTGTCATGTGGTCACGTGCTTATTCATCACAGCCCAAACCACTTACTTGTGCAAAGACCTGAAGCAGAAGCAGCTCAGGTGCCACAGGGCCCTGTATCCCCAACGTGCCGTTGGTGGCAGGGCTCAATCAGGCATTTGCCTGAAGGTCACCCTGCTATTGTTCTGTCTCCTCCCACAGGGATTGCTCCATCGCAGCCACTGGCAAAAGGTAAGGTGGCAGGACCGCAGCCAGCTGAGAAGAGATTCCCAGATCCCACACTGGTTCTAACATGTCCCCTCCCCACACAGGCCATCTGCCCGCTTCCCCCACCAGCGGAGGAAGAAGAGGAGGGAGATGGATGATGGGCTGGCTGAGGGAGGGCCTCAGCGATCCAGTGAGTAGACAGTGGCTCTGGAGGGTGGGCAAGGAGCCAGGGGGCTACATGAGGGTGCTCACTTCCCTCCCACCCCCACCACCCCAGACACATATGTGATCAAGCTGTTTGACCGGAGTGTGGACTTGGCCCAGTTCAGTGAGAATACACCTCTGTACCCGATCTGCCGAGCCTGGATGCGCAACAGCCCGTCAATGCGGGAGCGGGAACGCTCACCCGGCTCACCACTGCCCCCACTGCCAGAGGACGAGGAGGTGGGATGGGTGGTGGGAGACAGCCCAGCCACTAGGGAGGGCAGTGGGTCAGTGGTCTCAAGGGACCCTCCCCTCCCCTCAAGCTAGTGGCAGACAGGCACAGGTCCCTGTGTCTCCACAATGAATGTTTAGTCAAGTAGAGTGTACAGCTGTGCCCCCTTAGGGGTGTGGTTGGAGGTCCTTAGGGCAGACCTCCCTTGGGGGAGAGGGAACAGGGTTCCCTGGGTAGGGAGACATAACTTTGAAGGTTAGGAGCTGGACAGGGCTCATTAGTGCAGACAGAGTGGCTATCAGGTGTGGCCTAAATGAGCAGATGGGGACTGTCTGGGCTGCATAGGGATGGATGGGGGGTGTAAGTCATCTGGCCTGAGAGGAGGGTAGGCAGGGATCCCCAAGACAGACACATATGACATATATGGTCTTTCCAACCACCAAGATCAGACTTGGCCATCTGGCCATGGGGAGTGATGGCAGTCTCTAGGGGACACAGACATGACCCCCTAGACAATTCCCCAGCAGGTGGACATGAACCCTCCTGGGCTGACAGGTATAGATAGGGGTTCCTGGGGCAGGCAGGTAAGGTCTCTGCCCATCAGATATAACTCCACCAAGTATGGGTTTCTCCATGAGCCCCTCAGGTCTGTTGCTGGAGGGACAGGCAGGACCCGGAAAGGCAGGAGGGGTGAAATGCCTCCCCCAGCCCTCCACACTGACTCTCTTGGGCCTGATTTGGGACCCCTGTGCCTTCAGGGTTCAGAGGTCACCAACAGCAAGAGTCAGGATGTGTATAAGCTCCCTCCACCCACGGCCCCGGGACCACCAGGAGATGCCTGCCGATCCCGCATTCCATCGCCGCTGCAGCCTGAGACCCGGGGCACCCAAGAGGATGAGGTGGGTACAGGAGGCTGGCCCAAGGCAGGGAGCAGGGCCTGCTAACTATGGAGTCCCTGACCGTGGGGGGGTGGGGACAGACTTGCTCACCCTGCGAAGGTGGAGCTCCCTGACCTCGTGAGTGAGGGGGGAGCCCTGGCCCCTAGGTCAGGCATGGCCATCCAGCCTGGCCTCTCTGTCCACACAGCCCTCTGAGCCCGAACCTTCCCTCTCCACACTCATCTTTCGCAACATGCAGCGCTGGAAACGCATCCGGCAGAGGTGAGGGGGGGGGGGCTCTCTGGCTTGCCCCTCCCATGACCGTGCTTGCGATAGCTGAGACCTCTCCCACTCACGCCCCCAGGTGGAAGGAGGCGTCTCATCGGAACCAGCTCCGTTACTCAGAAAGCATGAAGATCCTACGGGAGATGTACGACCGGCAGTGATGTTCCGGGTTCCCCTTCCTTCCACCCAAATAAACACACCTTGCCCCCACACTGGTCCGTGCTCCCGCCCCTCCTTCCTGGCCAGTCATAAAGCACTTGGCACAGGTCTAGCATTTATTGGGCAGTGAGGTGACAGGGAGCAAGGATGTAGGAATGAAAGCATCGCTGCTTGGTTGGATCTTGAAGGATGAGGAGTGTAGTCAGCAGGCTGCCTAGGATATCTGGCCTGAGACCTGGGAATTCTGGTTGATTGGGGAGGGGCCTAGCACATCTGTAAAGTCTGGGGAGTTTTAGAGGGGTGCCTCTACAGTTTAAGATTGGGGGTCCTGATTGGCCTAGGATCGATGTCCCTTTACTGATGGATGTCAGTAAAGGGTTCAAGAGTCTGGGTGTCTGGCTGGGGTTTAAAATCAGAAAATGGGCTGGAGGCAGTGGAGTGTCTGCATCCAGGAAAAGGATCCTTGGGGACCAGGCCTGGGCGCTGTGGAGTGGGAGATCCCTGCAGCCCTGGGACATTTGGGGTTGGGGGAGGTGTGTGTGTAGGGGGGGGGTTATGTCCTGAGGAACCTGAAATTTGGGCAGGGCTGTCTATACCACATCTGATGTCAGAGTGGGGATGAAGTGAATATGCGATATGGTATGTTTTCATAGGAGTCAAAGGCAATGCAGGAGGGAGTTCTGAGTCGGGATACAAGCCCAGAAAGGGGGGGTGGATCCGATCAGAGGTGAGGGCAGTGCTCGAGTTGGAACTCAAAGGTAGGAGTGGTCCTGAAAGCTGGAGCGGGTGTGAGAGCTAGGTCGTCAAACCTGGGTCTGGAGTGAAGGGGTCAGGGCAGGATTTTGGTTTGGGTGGGAGGGACTGTCTTGGCGCGCTCGTCACTTCTGGCCGGGCGGAGTCAGATAGGCTTCTTAAAGAGGGAACCTGAAGCGTCTCCCGGGGTTCTGGCGTGCCCGAACCCCTCTACTTAGCGGCAGCCGGTGGCGGTAGTGGGGCCTGGGCTGACGCCGGTGCCGCCTGGATGGACAGGACGCCTTCTGGAGACAGCGCCGAGGTCACGGCGGCTGGGTCCACACCGGATGGCAAGCGGTAGCGGCGGTGGAACTCGCGCGCGATGAATCCGTGCTCATCCTGGAGGGGAGAGGGCCTTGAGCCCACCCTTCCCTAACCGCAGATCCTCCCCTCCCCCCTGCGCGCGCCCGCCCCGCCCGCGGGCTCACCGGGCGCTCCTCGTGGCGCGCGTGCACCTCGACGTGTTCGCCTACCACCTTGACGGCGATTTCCTCCGGCGCGAAGTGCTTCACGTCCAGCAACACCGAGAAGTGGCCGGGGTCCGTCGGCACCTGCGCACAGCAGGCGTAAGAGGGACTGTCATCCAGCAGGAACCTGGCAAGGCCCCAGGCCCGTCGGTTTTGGTGCTAAGGACAAGTCTGGCTCCAAACCTGGGGCATCCGACCTCTTCCCTACTGAGTTACCAGGACCTCTTCATCTACGTTAACTGGGATCCTACCTATGCCTGAAATCACTGGATCCCCCTCTCGCTCACACAGGGCAGTGAGACTCCCTTCCCCTGCAAGGTCAGGGACCTCCGCCTGCACACGGTGAGCAAGCTTGTCCCTCCCCCGGTGACTCGGCAGTCGCCGTGCCCCCGCCCTGAGGACCTTTATTCCCCACTCCCGCCAGCAATCGCCAAAGGCCTCTCTCCCTAGCCTCCAGAGTCCTGGGGTCACGGGGCCTCCTGCGCCCCCTGCAGTTACTGGTACCTTCCCCGCTTCAGGGTGGCCAGGACTCCTAAGTCACAGTATCTTTCTTCCTGTCCAGGACACACGGTGTCACCAGGCTCCAAATCTTCCCCAGCATTAACAGAACACCCCTACAGGAGTCACCGCCCGCCCTTTCCTCCAGTTTCCCTGGGTCACCAGTCTCCTTTAGAGTCATCAAGACTCCCTCTGAAGTGACCCAGCCCTTCCGTTCTCCGCAGAGCTAGAAGACCCCTTCAGAGCGACAGGGACCTCCCCACCCGCTTCAGTAACCGGCCTCTCTGATACCCCCTCCTCCAGGAGCCCCTCGGCTCAAAGTCAGCGGACATTCACGCAGCCCTCTCAGGGTGACCCAGTCCAGCCTTAGCGAGTTGTCCCTCCCCCAGGCCTGGCACCTGGGCGGTGGGCAGCGCCACACTGGGGGCGCGCAGGTAGTAGGGGGCGATCGCCGCAGGGCAGAGCGCAGCCAGCTCAGCCTCCAGCAGCCCCTCGCCGAAGCGCTGGTCGAAGAGCCGTCCCGGGGCGGAAAGTCCCGGCAACGGAGCCGAAGCGCGGCGCAGCCAAGACGGCTGCACAGGCACCGGGATCTCCATCCTGCTGCTCCGCCGCCGCCCAGCGCCCGCAATGCCCCTTCCTGCGCAGCCGCGGATTTATAGTGCGCCCTGTGCCGGCCCCCTCGGCGGGCCTCCCGGGAACACTGGGATCGTGGCCAGTCTTGGCCATTAGTAGAGCCTTATATAGAAACCCCAATAATGACTTGGCCATTTATTAAGCGCCTGCTGGATGCCTGGAAACGGACGCCAGGGCAATATCACTAAGATTTTTTTCAATTTCCTGGAACGGAAACTAAGGCAAGGAGGCTGATCATTGCGGGTGTAGAGAAAATAACGTGGCAGATGGAACTCAGGGCCGGAGAAGTCCCCCCAAATTGTTCTCAGTCCCCTTAATCCACCCTCGCTCCACTGGCAATCCTGAGGATGACGCAGAGGTCTTAGGAGCAGATTTCTGGAGAATGCAGTTGCCAGGCCAGGCTGTCAGGAGGACACAAAACAGACCCTACCCCCATCTTCCACCGGGCCTAGGGCCCAGCTCCCCTGCAGGTCAGGCCTAATTCTGTGCTTCTGACTCAGCCTCGGGTGCACAGCGGCCAGGGGGCGTGAGCATGAACACTGCAGGCTGGCCCCTAAAGGGCTGCGCGTCAGGGCCCAAAATAGCTCATTTTGATCCCACTACCTGGGCCAGGAGCCCAGGCCTGGCAAGTAGTACAGCCAGCTGCTACTGCGGCTAGAGGGAAGAGGTTAGGTAACCATCAAGACAGACTGGCTAGCCGAACTGATGAGGTATGGCTGTTAAAGAGGAGACAGACTCCCTGATTGCCCCAGCAACGAGTAGAACTGTAGACTGGATCCGGAACAGATGTCCTGCAGCCACCAGGAGAGACGATTAGAAATCAGGACTGCAGGAAAGCCTGTATACTCGCCTCCAGGCTCAAGCCCAGCCTGGTCCTTTCTATTGGTCCACAGACTTGCCATTTACTGTTGCACGCTACAGGTTTTCCAATCAAACACGCGCTTGCCGGCAGGCCAGCGGCACAGCCAGTCACGAGGCACCTCCCATTGGCTACTTTCCTGTTACTTTTATTTTCCTCTCTATCATTGGTCGCCTTGGAGGCCGCTCTCTTCCTGCGCGGGCACTCCCAGAGAAGGGGTGGGTTGCCAGGGGATCTGCTAACGACAAACGTGCGCGCGGGGTCCGTCCGGTGAACAAGCAAAGCAGGCGCGGGCTTGAGGTAGCTAGCTGTCCGATGGACCGGAGGTGAGGCCGAGTCCTCTTCCAGAGACCACGGGAGGCCTTGGGAGGTTCAAGGGCGAGGGCAACAGAGGCTTGCTGAGGACCAGAGCCTCGGGCTCAGTGCACTAGAACTACAACTCCCAAGGTCCTGTCCAGCCTTTGACTGTTCCAGCCGTAGACTTACCATCCCAGAGGTCTCACATATCTTTACTTCTCTCTGGGTGGCCCTAAGGAATTCTTTCCCCTAAGGGTGTCCAAGGCAACTGGGAAGTTGAATTTTGAAGATTTGAAATTGCCTCCAGACGCCCACGGGTATTGTCTTTGAACTTTATCGCTTAGGTGAAGCCCAGTGGATCATGGGGATTGTAGTTCATGGCCACCGAGGACTTATGGGCAATGTAGTTTAGGGTCTAGTCCTGGTTCTTAACCTGGCTCCACTTCAAAAATCACCTGGGTAATATTTAAGGAGGTGGAAATACTAATTATTCTGATTTGATCATTACACATTGTATACATGTATTGAATTATTACACTGTGTGTCATAAATGTGTACAATTGGTATGTATAAATTTAAAAACCATAGGCGACATGTTGCCTTGGGACTACAGTTTGAATCAAAAGAAATCACCTAGAATGGTGGAGGAAAATATACAGGATGCCTAGCTCCAATTCCTGATACTCTGATTCTGGGGTGGGACCTGCACATCTGTGATTTTAGCAGGCCCCTCCTACACTGCACCCAGAGTTGAGAACTACCAGATCCTAGATTCTTCAAAGGCTGCTTCGGGAGCTCATGGGAATCACATCTCTGCTGTCACTATCTTGAATGTGCGGTGGTGCTTCATGGGAATTATAGTCCATCCCTTCCAGGAATCCATAGGAATTGTCTGGTTCTGCTGTCCTCTCACCATGCTCTACCTTCCAACCTTCCTTGTTCAGCCTGTCGGTTTTCACCATCCATGACAGCACTTTTGGAGATGCTCTCCAGGGTCAAAGCCACTACCAGCCATCCCAAAGCCAGACTTGGAGCCCCAAGGTGAGAGTGACCACTAGAGGGAAGGAAAGCATGTATTGAGAGATCAAGGCAATCTTTCCTCCCCTTCCTGTGGCCTTCCCTTATCTAGCCCTCTACCCCTGGATCCCCCACCATCTCCCCAGTTACTCTAGATGGCTAACAGTGGTAACACTGTAGGATGTTCCCTCCTGTCTAGACTGAGACTTTCTGTATGTCTTTGTTCCCTATGGGGATGACCCCTCAGACTTCACTTTTTCTTCTTGTGTTCTCCCACATCTTAAACCCAGAGCCCATCCAGGTCCCAGAGATCCAGGCATCCCAAAGCTCCCACGGTCACAGCCAGTTCCTCTGAGCTGTTTGAGGAGTCCTGGCCATCCAGTTCAGGGACTTCTTCTTCACCCAGCACAACTGAAGGACGGATGGACACCTCCCCTACACCTACCCTGACTGACAGTGGGGACTCAGTGATGGCCAAGTAAGTATCAGAAGCCCTGGAGGAAAGGAGTTTGAATTAGAGGGAGGGAAAAGGCATCCCATAATAAGCATCAGAGACAAAGCTGTTTATTCAGACTTTTTTAGGACCAGGCACTTCCTATTTGTTGTTGCACTTGATCTTAGCTAAAAGGCCAAGGCATAAGGTACTGCATATACGTTATTAAGAACTCTGGAATGAGTTGGTGGGGTGGCTTAAGTGGTAGAGCATTTGCCTAGTAGTGTGAGGTCTTGAGTTCAAGCCCCAGTACGGTCAAAAAAATAAAAATAAAAAAGATCTCTGGAGCTGCCTGGGCTCAAATCCAAGCTCTGTCACTTACTGTCTATGATCTTGGCCTCAGTTTTTTTATCTTTAAATTGAGGATATCAACAGCACATATCCCCTAGGGCTGTTTTGAGCTTTCAGTGAGTGACTGTATGTAACAATCTATAACAATGTGTGTCACACAGTGAGCACATGGATTTGTAGGGAACAGATTCAGCTGCTATAACAAAGAGTCCCAAACTGATTTTGGTTTAAAAAAGATAACATTTGGGTTGGTGGAGTGGCTCAAGTTGTAGAGTGTCTGCCTATCGTGTGCAAGGCCCTGAGTTCAAACCCCACATTGCCAAAAAAAAAAAAAAACAGGCGGGGTGGGGTGCGTATATTTCTCTCTCATCTAATTATTCAGGCAGAACCAGCCAGGGCTGATATGGCAGCCCCTACTTGAGGCTTATTATTGTTCCATCTCTGGGCTGTTGTCCTTTTCTTCATGGCTCAAAACGACTCCTAACAACTTTCCACAACCATATTCCTCATTACCTGTTTGTCAGGAACCTAGTCAATGGTTACAAGTCACATAGCAAATGTAGTCCAAACAAGAGTTTCTAAGTGCGCAACTAAAAATTGCATTACTGGGCTCGTTGCATTGCAGCTCAGTGATAGAGTGCTCGTTTGGTATATGTGAGGTCATGGGTTCAGTCCCTAGCACAGCAAAAATGATAGATAGATAGATAGATAGACAGATAGATAGATAGATGGATAAACAGATAGGAAATCAAAATTGCATTTCTGTATAGGAAAGGAAAATAGATATTGAAGGACAACTACTTGCTTTTGGTGTTGAGTGAAAGCAAATATTGGCCATTGTTCTTGTGCAATATGCTTTTTCCCATGAGGCTTGATAGACATTGGCTGTTGTTGTTTTGACTCTCCTCACTCCTTCTACCTCCCATCACCTGATGCTCACAGGTATATAAACAGGTTCCGCCAAGCTCAGCCTACAAGCCGAGAGGAGCGCCAACCTGCTGGCCCAACTCCAGCTGACTTTTGGTGGCTGCAGCCTGAGTCCTCAGCTTCCAGCAGTCAACTTCCAGCAGGTGCCTCCTTTGGTCCATCCACACTCAGTTTAAAACCTTTCCTGTCAGTGCCCTGCCCCCACCCTCTACAGCCACTTCTCCTGGTGTCTAATTAATTCAGTTGAGGTTTCTTGGCAGGAGTCAATAACCCAGAAGGAAGACCCAATACAGCAGCAGTCCCAACACATACCAAGGTGACCTCTGCATCCCAGGCTGTGGCTCCCCTTCAGGAAATAAAGCAGGTGACATTCTCATCCACTCCCTACCCTAGGTATCTGAACTGACATGACAGTCCCCGCCCTGGGATAGAGTTAGAATTAATCCTCAACTCAAGGAATCATAAACAAAAAAAGGATTTGTTAACTAAATGCAATTTTGAATTCCAAAAGTAGCTGCTTTCCAGGATAGCCAGATCCAGGTGTTTGGACAATGTTGGGAGGAACCCATCTCTTTTGGTTCTGCGTTCCTCTTTGTTTGTCTTAATCTCAGCAGGCTTCTCCCCCCTCCCCAGTAGCCAGGATGGCCCCAGAGGCTCTAAACACCCATGGCACTAACTCCATTACTCCCATAGGAAATGGGAGCTTTTCCAATAGCTTCATCCAAAGCCCCAGGGCTCACTCTTATTGGATCATTTTTGAACCACTCACTGTGAAGCAGAGGCCAGAATGTTTTGATTCATCAGATCTGGTCAGGAAAGTAGGATCAATCCTTCAAGAGTGACTTGCACTTCAAGGGTGGATCCAAAGAGGAAAAGTGGGCCTCTTTTCCCTGAGATGCCACATAAGGATACCTGTAAAATAAGAGACTATACTCCAGGCTCTCTGTCCACAGGCCCTTTTCCAGCAGCCTTTGTTGGGGGGCTTGTGTCTGATCTCTTTCACCTTGCAGAGCCTCAACACATGGAACTCATCCCTGCTGGACCTGGAGACACTAAGCCTACAAAGCAGAGCTGCCCGGCTGCTCAAACGCAGGTGCCCCCCACCATTCCATTGTCCTTCCCAGTCCTTCAGCTTGCCTGGCCCACTGCCTCTGAGGGCTCTGCGGCCTCACCTTTGCTTCTCTCTACAGCAAAGCCTCCATCTCCTCCTCCTCACTCAGCCCCAGTGATGCCAGCAACTCCTCCTTCCCCATTAGCTCCGATGGCATCTCTCCCTTCTCTATGGCCTTCACCCCTGACCCCAGCAAGAACTCTGGCCTCACAGCATCTGGTAAGTGCTGAGAGACAAGGATTGAGGGCAACCTGGGTTCAGATCTTGTCTGTGCCACTTACCAGCAGTGCAACTTTGTACCTCTCTCTGGGCCTTATTTCTCCAGCTGTAAAACAGGAATATTAGTTAGATTCCTCTCCTACGTGTCTTGTGAGGATGAAATGAGTTTGTGGATATGTAGGAAGCATTTAGCACAGCTGTGTCATCAGTACTGATCATGGGTATGATAGGTCTAGCATTCTCTCTTCGATTTTGAGCACAAGCTCCAAAATCAGAAAACTTACTGCAGATTTGGTACTACATTGATTTGAAAGCCAAATCTGACCTATGAACCTATTTATAATCTACCTTAATCTCATTTAGAGTGACTATTCATACTTCTTTTTCTTTTCTTCTTCTTCTTCTTTTTTTTGAAGCAGGCTCTGAGTACGTAGCGCAGGCTGGTCTGGAACTCACTGTGTAGCCCAGGCTGGCCTCAAACTAGAAGTCCTCCTGCCCCGTCTCCTCAGTGCTAGGGTTACAGGCATGGACCATCATGCCAGGCTAGGCCTTTGACTTTGGCCAGAAGGGAGATGGAGCCCACATGTTCACAGGCTCCCTCGGTAAATGGGAAACAGATTAGGAGGAGAGGCGAATATGGAATCCAGCAAGGAGCCTGCTGGGATAGTTCAAGTGGGATGTAGGGCTGGACGAGGGGGAGGGCCCTGGTGGGAGCAGGGTAATGGGCAGATTCAGGAGAATCTAGCCTGTTCACTGCTGTAACACCAATGTCCAGAACACACATGCATGACACAATAACAGGCCAATATTTGTTGGATGAATGAACTGAAAGATGACTGGTTGAGAAGCCAGGCGTGTTTCTCCTCTGACTCTGCCCGGTCTCCACTTCCTGCTCCAAAGGAGTTGTGTACTACCTGAGCAACCTGCTGGATTAACCCTCTGGCACTGGGGAGGGTGGTGCGTAGGCTGCCCCTGGGTTGCTGACACCCTGGCTCCTACCTCACCCCTCTCTCCTTCCCTCTCCTTCCCTCTCAGCAGCAGCCCCACCAGTCCAGGCTCCCAGTCCTGCTCAGCTCTGGCTTCCTCCCAAATGCCCCTTCGACCTGAGGATGACATTTTGTACCAGTGGCGCCAGCGGCGGAAGCTTGAACGGGCTCAAGGAGGCAAGGGTGATGGAACGAGGGTGCAACCCCAGTCCCCAGCCCCCACCACACTGGTGAGTTGGGGAAGGGAAGAGCTAGAAAAATTGGAGGAAGGAAGCATAGAGGGGAACTGAGAACCCCTCCACTACCCTCCTCTCCCTCTCACATCCCTCTTCCTATCTGTCTACAGACCTCTCCTGCTCCTGCTGTGATCCTTGGTTCCCTGGGGACCCAGCCTAACTCTGTCCCACCATGGGGTATCGTGGCTCAGCCTGGTCCCTCAGAATCCTTCTATGTAGAAAGACCTCCTATTCCACCAGCGCCCTCTCCACATATCTTCTGGGCCCCCAGCCCCCACGGGTTCTTCTGGGCCCCACAGCCTAGTCCCTGGGTGTCTCTTGGGACCCTTCCTCCCACCCTGCTGACCTCTACCCCTACTCCCCCAGTCTCCATTCTGGCTCCTCCAACCTCCATCCCAGCGCCCTCGACCTCCACCCTGGCCTCTACCCCAGCTCCCCCAGCCTCCACCCTGGCACCCCCTGTTGCCCCTCAGAACCCGCCTACCCCTGAGCGAAGCAGCTCCGCCCAGCCCCCAAAGCGAAACCCCAAGCCTCGGAGGGCCAGAGCCTCGCACCCCTGGGAGGCTGCTAGGCAAGTCACGGACATAGGCGAGGGGCCTGGCCCGCAGCTCAGAGGCGCCCTGGGCCAGGTGGTGACAGCTCGGCTGTTCCCCGACAGCCTGGAGGACACGCCCCCTCGCCTTGAGGGCTCGCGTCCACCCGAGGCCGCACCCGCCAAAGCCAAGGTTACGGCCCCTCGCCCCGAGGCCACGCCCCCTCCGGAATCCCCGCCCAGGTCTAAGGCCCCGCCCTGCACAGGCAAGGCCACGCCCCCCTCAGGAAGGTCGGTACTTAGGAAAGGCAAAGCCACTGCCTCCGATGACACCGGGTGTCTGCAGCCCGAGGTCTCACCGCCTGCAGCCGAGGAGGAGGCCCTGCCACCTGCGTCCAAGGCGGGGTTTCGTGAGGCTGTGGCCACGCCCTTGCCTGGCCAGGTCCCCTCGGAGGACTTGCTCTCGCAGGCTGTCCAACTTCTGCAAGCTGCGGAAGGTGAGCGGCTGCTCCTGACCTCGGGGAACTTGGGGCAGCCTAAGAGTCAGCTTGCTGAAGTTCACTCTTTCCCCCAACCCCACTCGCCAGACTCCGATGGCAGCGAGTTTCAAGACGACCCGGTGCTGCAGGTGTTAAGAGCTCAGAGAGCAGAGCTTCGGCAACAGAAAAGGTGACCCTCTCACCAGCTCTGCGGTACGGGGTCTCTGTATCCTCTGAGGCTTCCGCTGAGTGCCACCCCTCCTAAGCCGCTTCCCCAAGACCCTAATCCTGAGGACATACCCCAGCCTCTATTCCCCTGCTTTTCTCCAGGGACGTGGACGCCCGATTATCTCTCCTGTTGGACCATGCTGAAGAACCCGGATCTTGGTCACCTCCAGCCAGGTTGCCCGCAAAGTCCCCAAGGAGGCGACTGCGGAGAGAAGGAGCCTCCCTGGAGGCTATACCACTTTGAACTGTATAAATTCTGTTCTGCCCACTGAAGTATTTTCCTCCCTAAACTTGCTCAAGCCCCTTTCATCTTAAAACCTTATAGTTGTTCTTCACAACTCTCTTCCCTCCCACATAGTCAACCAGCAAATTCTGTCATTTACACATTGAAAATGTTCCCAGAATTCAGCCCCTTTCTCCCACCTCACTCTAGGCTATCACCTCCTCCCTGAACTGCTGGAAACCTGTCGTCAATATTATAAACATGTCCGCTCATTCTTTGATACACTTGCTATCCATTGGAAGTCTGTGTCTCTTCTTTTTGAAACTGGGTCCCTCAGCATATCAGATGCTGAGGAAAAGAAAAAGATTGCATGCTGTAGATGGGTTATACCGGTATACACTTACCAAACTCAGTGAAATACGAACATAAATTTCATTGTGCGTACAGTTTACCTCAAAATAAAAATACATAGTGAGCTCTAGTTAAAGATCTGCATGCTGAGATATTTAGAAGACTATACCAATATCTGATTTATTTTGAAATGCATCCAAAGATTAGTTGGATCAGCAGGAATAAAATAAATGATAGATATGAGATAAGGCATTTGCAATAAAATGTTAACACTACAACCTAACTGGTGAATTTGTGGGTGTCCATTGTAAGATTTTTTTTTTCAACTTGCTCTACGTTAGAAACTTCAAAATAAGATAATGGAGAATATATGATCAAGATTGTTCTGATGTCTGCATTTATAAAAAGAGGATGGATTTCTAGCAGCAGGTTTTTGCATGTCAGAGACTGCCTTTTTGAACACATCATTTAAATGAAATGAACAAGAAAGAAATAGCTTGTTTAGATGTACGGAGCAATAAAAGACGTTTACAGTAGCAGAGCCTGATCTAGTTGAGGGGGAAGACGAGAAGGATTCCTGATGAAGGTACACTTAAGCTGAGACAGGTGGTAATTATGTAGTTGACAAGGGGCCATCCTAATTACTATTGCTGGGTAACAAACCACCTAAAAACTTAGTGGTATAAAACAATCATTTTATTATGCTCATGGATTCTGTGAGACACAGCTGGGGGTAGTTTGTGTGCACCATGATGTCTGATGTCTCTCCATGAAGTCTGGAAAGACTCAAAGGTGACTTGATGGTGTGTGGAATCCTCTGGAACTTCTTATAGTCTGGCACCAGGACTGAGAAAACTGAAAGACTGGGCTCAGCTGGGACTGACAGCCATACATGGTCTCTCCACTGGTTTGGGCTTCCTCAAAGCATGGCTGCCTCAGCATATTCACACTTCTCACAGGATGCCTCATGGTTCTGTAGCTAGACCCTCAGGGTTTGATCCAGTGGGCAAGGAGGAATCTGCACAGCCTGCCACTACACTGCCTTGAGAATCCCACAGTGCCGACTCCTCTATTTGCTATCAGTTGAAGTTGTCACGGTTCTGCCCAGATTCCTAGGTGGCGGGCACAGACTAAACCTTTCAATGAGTTGAAGTGTCAGAGAATTTTTAGCCATGTTTAAAAAAGAATTTTTTTTTGGCAGTCTTTTGGGTTTGAATTCAGCGCCTCATGCTTGCTAGGCAGGCACTGTACCACTTGAGCCCCTCTATCAGTCTGGTTTTGTGTTTAGGATAGGGTCTCGTGAACTATTTGCCTGGGCTGGCTTTAAGCCATGATTCTCTTGATCTCTGCCTCCTGAGTAGCTAGGATTACAGGCGTGAACCACTGGCCCCTGCCATGTTTTAAAATTGTCACAGGGGTTGACAGGAGGAATACTGTAGGTCAAGGAACTATCATGTGGGAAATAAGTAACTGTAAAATTGATTTCTCCCCCCGCATTCTCTTCCCCCAATCCCTGATTTTTTTCCATAGAACTGATACGAATTAAGTGGTCAGAGTTTTTAGTGAATGAGTGAATGAGCAGATCAAGGACATGCTGGTCTGAGGTGAGGCCCTGTTGAGAACGTGAGGAACGGGAGCGGGGAACATCGTCTTGGGAAGGGTGTTGTTACTGAGTGCTTTCTGGGGATGGCTCACTCAGTTGTAGGAACGAACCTTTTCCCAGGAAGAAGAAGTCAAGGTTGGGGGCCAGTCTGTAATAAGCAGTAGGAGAGGGCGCGAGGAAAATGTCCAGTGGGTAGGGTGAGGCCAAGTCGCAGAGAGCCGAGGACCATATCCCAGGCGGTGTGTGCAGTGATGAAAAACGAACGTGGGTGGAGCCCTATGGTCCTGTGGGGGATCAGGGTCAGAACCAACAAGGTGGGAACAGAGGACTGGGTCTTTGAAAAACTGCTTGAGGTGTGGAGCCCTGACGCGTGGAGAACCCAGTTAAGAATGCCAGAAGAGTGGTCCCTGACAGTGGACTAAGGGGACAGTCCAGTGTTTAACGTTGGAAGTGTCAGCAGCAAAGCATAAAGAACCGGGGGGTGTGTCTCAGGAGGGGATGAGAACCCATGAAAAGCAGCCATGGGCGGGGCGCTGTCAAACTTCGGGGGGGCGGGACTGAAAGGACAGAACAGGGGGTGGAGTCCAAAACGAAGCCAATCAGAAGCCCCCAGGTGGGAGGGCCGTCGTCCGAAGGCCAAGGGTGGAGCCAATGAGAAGCGTCACCGCGTCTCCCCTACCCCCCGCACCCGTGGGGCGCGCGCCGGAGCCACGGGCAGCCGTTAGGGGCGGGGCCTGCAGCCGCCCGCGCGCGGCTCGCGCCCTCCCCTTTGTGTCGCCATGGCGGCGGCGGCGGCGACAAGGACTACGAACGAGGGGTCGAGCACAGCCGGGGCCTGAGGAGGCTACCGCGACCATGGTGGTGAGAGGCCCACGCGGCCGTCAGTCTGTCCGTCCTCCGGTCGTTCTGTCCGCGCGCGCGGCCCCGCCCTGCGAGCCCCGCCCCTGGCCCCGCCCGAGCCCGGGGCCCGCGCCGCCCCTCACCCTGGGTCGCCATCCCTCTGGTCCCCCGGCGCGGTCCTGGGTCTGAGCCTTTACCTCGACCCCGCCCCTCAGCGCGCATCCCCTTCCACGCCCTAAGTGACAGTGGCCGAGGACCCGGGCTTGAAAGAAGGGCTGGTCCAGGCAAGATCCCGCGCCACCCGAGGGCCCCCCAGCGGGGGCTGAGACTCCCTGGAAACCGGCCCCATCCCGGCGCCTTCCTCCGCATCCGCGGCCCCACCCGCCCCCTCCTCCTCCCGACAGCCTCGTCTCTCTGAGCCCCACCCCCACCGCCCCATCCTCCGCCCGACCCTTTTCTTCTCTCTTCCTCCTCACCCCATCCCCGGCCCCCCCAGCCCCGCTGCCCCCGTACGACCGAACCTTTGCCTCCACCGCTCCAGCCGCCGCTCCCCTCCTTACTCCACCCAAGAAGCCAGCACTGTACCCCGCCCGATCCTGGGGTCCTCTCCGTCTTCTTGTCCTCCCTCCCCTCCTCCACCGTCCCTGCTCCCACCATGCTGCTCCCGCTCATTCATCCATTCATTCCCTCCTTCCCTCGCTCAGCGGACATCCACTGAGACCTCCTCTGTGCAGGCCCCATGCTCCAGGCACAGAGACAGTCAGATCCCATCCTGCCTTGGGGAGCTGCATGGGCTGGCGGGGGACAGACTCAGAGGGTGAGACCCAGGGATGAACCCGGGGTTGCAGGGACCTGGAGGAGGGAGAAGTCCAGTCTGGCAAATCCCTGAATCCCGGGCTGGTAGCTGGCTAATTTATTCATCAGATTTTACCCAGCCCCTACTGTGCCACTGGGCTGGCACTGGGCACTGGGGACCCATCAAAGAATCCAGAGCAACCTTTCCTGTGCCCAGCTCTGTGTTGGGCATGCTGGGGGTCTCAGCCTGGAGCCCTGCTTCTGGGGAGGTCAGAGTCCAATGGGGGAGATGGGTTTGTCACCAGACAGTGGCATCTCAGCGTGCTCAAAGCTGTGATGGGTGAGCTTGGGCAGAGCCACGGAGTCTGGGATGGGGGAAATCAGTGGGATGTAGTGTCCAGAATCAATGCTTAGCACAGCCCATGGAGGTCTTTCTGGACAAATACACATGTAAGCTGAGACCTGGGGACAAGGAGAAGAGAACCTAGTGACAGGGTAGGGACAAGGGCTCCAGGCTGAGGAATAGTCTTTACCAAAGTGTAGAAGGAAATGGGGAGGTAGCACTTTTGCTGGACTCAGAAGTTGAAGAGCTCTGAGAAGGAGGGTGATAGAGAAGAGAGAAACTGGAGAGGAGAACAGAAACCAGCCAAGGGAAGCTCGTTGTCTTCATCTAGAAGACAACAGAGAGTCATTGAAGGTCTAGGATCTGTGGAGAGACAGGGCCACATTTGTGTTTTGTGAAAATAGTCCTGGCATCTGTGAAGAAGGTGCGGGAGAGAGGGACGTTGGAAGCGGCAGATGTGGGTTGTGAATGTCTAGACAGTGGCAGGAGGTGACTATCTTGTAGGGCTACAGAGTCTTCAACAGAAATATAAACCAGTATGCTTGCGCTCCTGTTGCCTGCTCACCCCTGGTCCCTGTTCCTCTAGCCCTTTACCCAAGACCACACACAAAGAACAAGCCTGTTAGCACAGCCTTCACCCTCCACTGACCTACCCTCTAACTCCATGCTCTGGGCCATGTGTGGGGAGTAACCGGGCCTCTAGGCCCAGACTGGCAGATAACAATGCTTTCCTTGTCTCTTTGCTCCCATCTCTGGGGCCTCTGATTCTTTTCTCTGCTCCACAGGCCCGCAGCACTGACAGCCTGGATGGTTCAGGGGAGGGCTCTGTGCAACCCGTAGCCCCCACTGCGGGACCCGGTGTGAAGGGGAAGCCTGGGAAGAGGTGAGGGGTGAGGGGAGAGAAAGGCTTACCCTAGCAGGGAGGGAGGCCGGATAAGAGAGCTGCTGGTGATGTGTCACCTATCTCCCAGGCTTTCAGCTCCTCGAGGGCCCTTCCCCCGGCTGGCTGACTGTGCCCATTTCCACTATGAGAACGTTGACTTTGGCCACATTCAGGTATGGAAGCTTTGCACCCAGGTGGGCAGGTGCGCTCCTACTCAACCCTGAACCCTCTCAGCTGCTTTGCCCAGAAGCCTGTCTCTGTGACTGGCAGCTCTGTCTGCTGTCCCTAGCGGTCTGAGCAGTCATTAGCGGGAGTCACAGGGGCTAGGGCACACAGGGGAGCTGTGTATTCATTGATCCACGTGTCCTTTGACTTACTCCTTCAACAGCAAGTTGTGTTAGATCTGTGCCAGACTCTGCACTCTGAGCAAGACATCATCAGGTCCCGTCTTTGGGGAGGCCCAGATCCCTAGATAGTGCCAGCTTAAAGGGGTCAGTATGGGACAAAAGGGAAGCCCTCATCCGGTTTTTTGTTTCCTCTGCAGCTCCTGCTGTCTCCAGAGCGGGAAGGCCCCAGCCTCTCTGGAGAGAATGAGCTGGTGTTTGGGGTACAGGTGACCTGTCAGGTGAGGCTACCCCTGCCTCTCATCTAGCCTGAGGGACTGACCACCACAGTCCTCAGCTCAGTGTAATGGGACCTGCTTCCTTCTGTCCCTCCTGCTTCCACAGGGCCGTTCTTGGCCAGTTCTCCGTAGTTACGATGACTTCCGTTCTCTGGATGCCCATCTCCACCGATGCATATTTGACCGGAGGTTTTCCTGCCTCCCAGAGCTTCCCCCACCCCCAGAGGGTGCCAGGGCTGCCCAGGTAACCTAAGTGTTATCTCACCCCCTGCCTCACCATCAGTTTGTCCTGAGCCATGTGTGAAACCGTCAGGGCTAGGGCGAAATACTTAAAGATTGGTACAGTCTGAGTTCTAGCCAGTCAGAATGGAGAAGCCTTAGAAACGAGAGTGCTGGAGGCTCCTTTTAGTTTGGGGATCATGGGGAAGCCCAGAAGGTTCCATAGGAGGGTCAGCATAGCCATACCAGTTACATTCCAGAGCTTAGACCAGCCTGCTTACCAATCGACATAACAGTGTTTCAGAACCCACACATCCAGCTGAATTTCAGGCCTGCCCAGAGAAGAACTGGGTTTCTGTGGGAGGGCAGTGGGCTCCCTCATTATCCACTCACAGAGGCCCACCTTGACACCCTGTCTCCAGATGCTGGTACCACTGCTGCTGCAGTACCTGGAGACCCTGTCAGGACTGGTGGACAGTAACCTCAACTGTGGGCCAGTGCTCACCTGGATGGAGGTGGGCCTGGGCAGGGGGCTTGGAGTTAGTATGGAGTGAGGGGGGTGTCTGAAGTTCAAGAACCAACCTGGGAGTGTGTGTGGGCACAGAAAAGAAAGGAGCCCAAGCCAGGGAGACCTTGGTATTTTAGTGTCTGTGTGGGCACATAGCTGTGAGAAAAAGTGTGTGTGTGCGCACATGTGCACTTTAGCAGGTGTTGGTGTGTGGAGATTTAAAGGCATAGCAGTTAGAAATGGGTCTACCTGCTAATGTGTCTGTAACACAGACCACCTGACTAATGGGGCTTACATCAGAGTTAGTGTGTGTGTGTGTTACTAGGGTTTGAACTAAGAGCTTTGAGCTTGCTAGGCACACACTGCCATTTGAGCCATACCCTACCAGAAGGTTCTTAGATAGTAGGTGTGCCATGTCTGCCATGGGGATCTTGGGGACAGGAGGTCTTGGGACATGTTGGGGGCAGGGAAAAGAGGGTTTGTTTAGAGGGAACAAGACTTTAGGTGTTGCCCATTACCTCTGAAGCTCTTAGGTGAGGGACAAGTGGTGGCCTCACCAGGCATGGAGGAACCTCGTCTGCCTTTCTTAACACCTGACCTCTCTTTGTTACATGTCACCTCCATCGCAGCTGGACAATCATGGCCGGCGACTGCTCCTCAGTGAGGAGGCATCGCTTAATATCCCTGCAGTGGCTGCTGCCCATGTGGTCAAACGGTACACGGCCCAGGCGCCAGATGAGCTGTCCTTCGAGGTGAGGCTGTGGGGGAGCAGACTGCAGCTGGGCCCCCCACTTGTCTTGCTCCTTCTCACCCCCTTCTCCCTCCCACTTGCTCCTAGGTAGGAGATATTGTCTCAGTGATCGACATGCCACCTGCAGAGGATAGGAGCTGGTGGCGGGGCAAGAGGGGCTTTCAGGTGAGTCTGGCTTGGGTAGACATAAAGGAGTAGGACACCATTTCCACTAAAGTGGCCAGCCACTAACCCTGACCCTTCCTCAGGTTGGTTTCTTCCCCAGTGAGTGTGTGGAACTCTTCACAGAGCGGCCAGGTCCTGGTCTAAAGGCGGGTAAGTACTGTGGATAGGGTGGGGGCCTCCTGTATCCTCAGTCTACCATCCATCCTTTCTACACGTTGTCCCCCCACAGATGCCGATGGTCCCCTGTGTGGCATCCCTGCTCCACAGGGCATCTCCTCTCTGACCTCAGGTAATTGGAACAAGGGCTCAGGTCTTTGCCCCTGTGCCACCAGGCCTGCAGCTGTGCTGACCCCAGGTGGCCTGCCTTTGTCCCCACAGCTGTGCCCCGGCCACGTGGGAAGCTGGCTGGGCTTCTCCGCACCTTCATGCGCTCCCGCCCTTCTCGCCAGCGGCTGCGACAGCGGGGGATCCTGCGACAGAGGGTGTTTGGCTGTGACCTTGGAGAGCACCTCAGCAACTCAGGCCAGGACGGTGAGACCTGGGCCCACCCCACATCACCCTCCTATCCAGTCTAGGATGCCACCTACCCAGCCTGACTGACCCTGCTGCTTTCTTCCAGTGCCCCAGGTGCTGCGCTGCTGCTCTGAGTTTATTGAAGCCCACGGGGTGGTGGATGGGATCTACCGGCTCTCAGGCGTGTCCTCTAACATCCAGAGGCTGAGGTGAGGGCCTCTCCACCCACTACCTCCCACAAACATTATCCAGATTTAGGAGGACACAGTGTAGCAGGTGGATCAAGCCGGGGGGAAGGGTGCTTCCTGGCTAAGGCCAAAAGATGAGAGTAGAGTTAGCATCCTAAGCAGAGGATCAGCCTTCACTGAGTACCTGCCACGTGCCAAGTGCTATTCTAGGCACTAGGAACACAGCAGTGAATGAATCAGCCAAGAGACCCCTGCCCTTATAGGGCCCGCCTGCTAGAGGAAAATGGTAGTTTACTAGAAGGTAACAAGCTCATGGAAAAAAATTCACGGGGGTAAGGAGGAGCATAATAAAGCAGGAGGGAGAACTGCAGTTTTAAGTAGTGAGAAAGGAGGCCATGTGGGTAGCCTGGCAAAACCATTTGCAGCAGAGAGAATAGCCAGCGCCAGCGTGAAGGGGAACACGGCAGGAGGTGATGCTAAGAGCCAGCGGGAAGTGCATTCAGTGCATTTGGTGACTGTTAGGATTTAGGCTTTTTCTCTGAGTCAGTTCAGAGCCAAGGTTCTGAGCCATACAACCCGGTAGAGGTGGGAAGGACTAGGGCAAGAACAAATTGCTGAAGAGGCCATGAGGCTGGGAAAAGTGAGGCCAGAAATGAGGTCACAGTGGGGACCCACTAGAGCGATGTGAGCAGGGGATGCTGGGATCTTGCCTGCATTTTCCAGTGACTGCTTAAAGCCAGGAAAATGATACAGTTTCATGATAGGAGTGTGGTCACACTCTGGAGTCAGACAGCCTTAGGTAGCTACAGGCAGAGCATCTCCCTCCAGAGCCTCATTGTCCTCTAAGATGGGGCCCCCTTGTACTTTGCCACACACTTGCTGGGAGGTTCGGTGAGGTTCTTCATTGGATAGCCCTTCACAGGGCCTGGGGAAAAGGCCACATCCATCTGTGGGCACTTGAAGGGAGGGTGAGGAGAGGTGGCCAGGCTGACCTGGGCCTGCCTTCTCTTTCACTGGCGGTCTTAGGCATGAGTTTGACAGTGAGAGGATCCCAGAACTGTCCGGCCCAGCCTTCCTGCAGGACATCCACAGTGTATCCTCCCTCTGCAAGCTCTACTTCCGGGAGCTGCCCAACCCCTTGCTTACCTACCAGCTCTATGGGAAGTTCAGTGTGAGTGAGGGAGCTGGCAAGGGTGGGGGTGCTGGCCTGTCTCTGGCCCAGCCTCATCATGCCTGTTCACCACAATCTCAGGAGGCCATGTCAGTGCCTGGGGAGGAGGAACGCCTGGTACGTGTCCATGATGTCATCCAGCAACTGCCCCCACCACACTACAGGTAAGCCAGGAGGGCCAGGGAAGGGCTGCAGTGGGTTTCCAGGAAACTGAGGCTCAGCTGTCCCTATCTGCTTCCACCCTCCCCCCCAGGACTCTGGAGTACCTGCTGAGGCACTTGGCCCGGATGGCAAGACACAGCGCCAACACCAGCATGCACGCCCGCAACCTGGCCATTGTCTGGGCACCCAACCTGCTGCGGTAAGCTGGAAGCTCACCAGCCTGTTCCTCTCAGCTCTTCCCAACCAGGCAGGCTGCAGGTTAAACCCTAGGCACACAGGAGGCTGCCCAGCTCTTGTTCTCTTGTTCATTCATTAATACATACTCATCAAGTACCTTCCCTGTACCAAGCCCTGACCCCAGCACTGGGCACAATGGTGAGGAAAGGCCCTGTGTCCAGGGGCTCACATTCTCACAGAGGAGGAGCAAGGAGTAATTTATGATGTCAAGGAGGAAGATATGAAGCAGGGAAGGGAGGTGGATCATGGTGGTTGGAAGTTTTAAAATACAACAGCAGACAAGGCTTCAGTAACTTTTTCTGTCAGCAGCAGAGTAAGCCCCAGCAGATTTGATGCTGACCAAGACAGGCAAGATCTCTACCCTAATGGAATTCATATTCTTCTGGAGAAGTGTATGTAAATAAGTAAACTAGCCAGGCATGGTGGCACATCCTGTAATCCCAGTACTCAGGAAGGATAGAGGGTTTGAAGCCAGCCTAGCCTACATAGGGAGATGATGTCTTAAAAAAAAAAAAGTTAAATAGTTGGAATGTCAGATGGTGGGTATAAGAAGCGTATGGGGAAAATAGAAAAGAAGACAGTGGTACAGGGAAGAAGGTCTACAACTTTAAGTGAGGTGGGAGGGGAAGACTTTGTTGGGAAGGTAACATTTGAGTCAACACCTGTATGGGGCGGGAGAAGGATCCGTGTGGATCCGTGTGGAGCAAAGCAAACAACAGGAGCAGTGAGTGGACACTGGAGGCTGAGGTGGCACCTGTGTGTTGGAGGAACCAGTGTGGCTGAAGCTGAATGAGCAAGTGAATGAGGACATGAGAAGAGATGATGTGCTCAGAGGTGACAGGGGACAGATTGAGGGGTGACTTATGAGTACTTTGCTTTTAGCTGGAGTGAAGTACAGCCAGGGCAGGGCTCTGAGCCAGGAGGGTCCTGATCTGGCCCAAGTGGTGACAGGCTCTTTCTTGCTGCGGGTAGGGACAGACTGAGGGGACAGGGACAGGAGCAGGAAACCAGGAAGAGGCTACTGTGACACCCAGATGAAAGGGAATGGAGACTGGGCCAGTATGTTAGTCAGCTGTCACTATAACAAAACACCTGAGATAGTTAACTGATAAAGAGAAAAAGGTTTGTTTTTGAGGTTTCAGTCTATGATCAATTGGCTCTGCTTTGGACCTGTGACAAGGCAGCACATCATGGTGGGGGCACATGAGTAAAACTGCTCACCTCATGGCCAGAACTCAAAAAGGAGAGGAAGGATCCAGGGTTCCAGCCTCCACAATCACCTTTGAGGTCATGCCCACAACGAACAAAAGACCTTCCACAGGCTCCACCTGCTAAAACTCCACCATCTTCCCAAGAGTGCCACCGTGGAGAGCAAGCCCTTACCACGTGGGCCTTTAAGGAACACTAAACCAAACTATAGTGAGCAGGGTGGGCAGTAGAGGGGAAGAATATATTGGATAGACTTGGTTGGTGGAACTGACAGGGTTTGCTGACATTGAATGTGGCGGTAAAGGCGAGGACAACCCTGGTGGATTGGCCTGCACTAGAACTACACTGTCTGAGGTGGGACAGAAAGGTGGGAGGAGCAAGTTGGGGGAAAGTTGAGAACCCAGTTGTAGGTTGATTGGATGGAGGTTAGATGTGAACATTCGCTTCCACTGACACCCACATTGCACATCCGCAACCTGTGGCCCAGGCTCAAGGAACATGGCACCCATCTTTCCTCCCCTCCAGGTCCATGGAACTGGAGTCGGTGGGGCTGGGTGGAGCAGCAGCCTTCCGGGAGGTTCGGGTGCAGTCAGTGGTGGTGGAGTTCTTGCTCACGCACGTGGAGGTCCTGTTCAGTGACACCTTTACCTCTGCTGGCCTCGACCCTGCAGGTATGCCCATCCCACACCCCAGTGTCCTGGCTACTGCCCCTCAATGTCAGGGCTGTAGAGGGAGGGCAGGCGGGCTCCCAGCCCTATCCCTACCCACTGAAGCTGGGCCTCCCTCCCATCTCCTTTAGGACCCCGCCCCGGCCCATCCCTCCCCGCGCCCCCCTCCTTCTCATTTCAGCTCCTACGCTCAGGATCCCCACTTCTTGGCCAGGACGCCGTTCTTCCTTCACCCCTTATAGTTCCTGGGGGCACTTGGGGCCATGGGTCCACCCGGGAGGAGGTGGGAGGTCCCCAGACTTGACCCCACCCTGGCCCTGCCCAGACTCCCTGCCCTGCCCCGGACCCCAGTCCAGTCAGGACTCAGCTCGTCGGAGGGCCCTCTGGCCCGAGGTAACTGACCAGAGCCGCTGCCCTCACTGGCTGCTGGGAGCTGCCTCCTCATCAGCTCATTCTGCCTCACCCTCCTCACCTGCCTGCTGCCCCCCATTCCCGCCTGATCCACCCTGGCCCCCTGCCTTGCCAGCCCGGGTGGGCATGCTGCGGGGCCGGGGCTTGGGCTGTGGCGCTTGGCTTTGCCTGTGGTCTCACGAGGCCTGAGAACTGAGTTACCCCCTTTCCAACCTCCCCAGGCCGCTGCCTCCTCCCCAGGCCCAAGTCCCTTGCGGGTAGCGGCCCCTCCACTCGCCTGCTGACACTGGAGGAAGCCCAGGCGCGTACCCAGGGCCGTCTGGGAACCCCCACTGAGCCCACAACTCCCAAGGCCCCAGCCTCACCTGTGGAGAGGTAAGCAGGATGCTGGGGAGGTGGAGGGTGTCCTGCAGGCCCTGCTTCCTCAGACTGCCTCCCATTTCTCACTCCAAACCCAGGAGGAAGAGAGAGAGAGGGGAGAAACAGCGGAAGCCAGGAGGCAGCAGCTGGAAGACATTCTTTGCTCTGGGCCGGGGCCCCAGTGTCCCCCGAAAGAAGCCCCTGCCCTGGCTGGGAGGTGCCCGAGCCCCGCCACAGCCTTCAGGTCAGAGGCTGTGCAGTCAGCAAGGTGGGGTGTCTGCGGCAGGCCCTGCCTCCTACCTCTACTACCTCTCCCCGCAGGCAGCCGACCTGACACGGTCACACTGAGATCTGCCAAGAGCGAGGAGTCTCTGTCATCACAGGCCAGCGGGGCTGGTGAGCACAGGGTGGGCCTACTGGACCCAAGCTGAGCTGGGAGGAACTGGCCTTCAAATGTTTCAGATTTTGGGAGGTCGTGGGGATTTAAAATGTTAAAACCTGAACTTTAGGTATGAGTTAAAATTTCACCTTTGATCCACTACACACTGTACTCATTGGTCCATACAGGACCCTTTAAAACTTTTATTTGTACCTTTTGAAAAAAAATAATAATTATGGACACCCACAAACTTCCTATGTACAACTAGAAGAGCCCAATGTTTTATTTTACTGCCCCTCTCCCACCTGTTGTACCCCACCAGAGGCACCCTCTAGATCGGCTGGTCATCATTCCCTTGCTTCGAAGGTTTTGTCCCATACAGGTGTTATGGGTAAACACCGCTGCTCAGGAAACAGGATGCACCATGCTGTATAGAGCTTGCCTTTTCACGGCATTACAAGCTACCAGCCATGTTGCTAAGTGTAGCTCAGGCTCATCCCACTGCTCTTCTGTGTGAGGATACCCCATCCTGCTACCCATGGATTTGGGGGCTCTTAGGAGCAATCTCTGGCTCACCCCTGCTCCTGGGAAATTGCTCTGCCACATACCAGGAGTGGAGGTGCTGTCCTGTAGGGTTTACATATCATCAAGTTTACAAAGACCAGGGACAAAAGTTTTCCCAGAGAGGTTACCCTGTTTGGACACGCAGTTGCTGTGCCCATAGGGTTGCCAGACTCCATTCTAGCTTTGGCCTGGAATGGTTCTCTTTGTTGTGTTGCCCTGTCACCGTGAGTCTGCACAGCTCTTACTCACAGCTTCCTGCCCTTCTGTTGAGCTGGGCCCTGGAGCTTCCATGCTTAGTCTGACCCTACTGCCCCACCCCTTCCAGGCCTCCAGAGGCTGCACAGGCTGCGGCGACCTCACTCCAGCAGTGACGCTTTCCCTGTGGGCCCGGCACCTGCTGGCTCCTGCGAGAGCCTGTCCTCCTCGTCCTCGTCCTCCTCGTCCTCCTCCTCTGAGTCCTCGGCAGCTGCTCTGGGACCACTCTCTGGGTCCCCCTCACATCGCACCTCAGCCTGGCTAGATGATGGTGATGAACTGGACTTCAGCCCACCCCGCTGCCTGGAGGGACTCCGGGGGCTCGACTTTGATCCCCTTACCTTTCGCTGCAGCAGCCCCACCCCAGGGGACCCAGCACCTCCTGCCAGCCCAGCACCCCCGGCCCCTGCTTCTGCCTTCCCACCTCGGCCAACCCCACAAGCCCTCACACCCCGCGGGCCCACCAGCCCAGCTTCGCCCACTGTCCTGGACATCTCTGAGCCCCTGGCTGTGTCTGTGCCACCTGCTGTCCTGGAACTGTTGGGAGCTGGGGGAACTCCTGCCTCAGTCTCCCCAACACCAGCTCTCAGTCCTGGCCCAGGCCTGCGCCCCCACCTCATCCCCCTGCTGCTGCGTGGAGCAGAGGCCCAGCTGAGTGACACCTGCCAACAGGAGGTCAGCAGCAAGCTGGCAGTGCCTGGTCCCAGGGGACCCCAGGGCCAGCATGGTGAGTCCTGCTCAGCCCACCCCACGCTCTCACAGACCCTAAGGCTGCCCCAGGTCCCAGTTGACCCTCTTCCCATTCCTTCCTGTATAGGTCCTGGGACGGAGTCACCATTGCTGCCCCCACCCCTGACCCTCCTACGCCCTGGGGGGGCCCCACCCCCACCCCCCAAGAACCCAGCACGCCTCATGGCCCTGGCCCTGGCTGAGCGGGCTCAGCAGGTGGCCGAGCAACAGAGCCAACAGGAGCGTGAGAGCACACCACCTGCTCCTCACTCCCCTTTCCACCGTTCGCTGTCCCTGGAGGTGGGAGGGGAGCCTGTGGGGACCTCAGGGAGTGGGCCACCCCCTCACTCTCTAGCCCACCCAAGCGCCTGGGCCCCGGGACCCCCACCATACCTACCCAGGCAACAAAGTGATGGGAGTTTGGTGAGGAGCCAGCGGCCCATGGGGACCTCACGGAGGGGACTCAGAGGCCCTGCCCAGGTCAGTGCCCAGCTCAGGGCAGGTGGGTATAGGGATGCCCCAGAGGTGGCAGCCCAGTCCCCGTGTTCTGTCCCCTCACAGGTTCCTACCCCTGGCTTCTTCTCCCCAGTCCCCCGGGAGTGCCTGCCACCCTTCTTTGGGAACCCCAAACCAAGCTTGTACCCCCTCGGCCCCCCCTCCTTCCAGCCAAGCTCCCCAGCCCCAGCCTGGAGGAACTCCCTGGGGCCCCCTACACCACTCGACAGGGGAGAGAACCTGTACTATGAGATCGGGGCAGGTGAGGGATCGCCCTACTCCGGCCCCAGCCGGTGCTGGAGCCCCTTCCGCTCCATGCCCCCCGATAGGCTCAATGCCTCATATGGCATGCTCGGCCAGTCGCCACCACTCCACAGGTCCCCTGACTTCCTGCTCAGCTACCCACCACCCCCCTCCTGCTTTCCCCCTGACCACCTTGGCCACACAGCCCCCCAACACTCTGCCCGGCGCCCCAACCGGCCTGAGCCCCTCTACGTCAACCTGGCCCTAGGGCCCAGGGGCCCCTCTCCTGCTTCTTCCTGTTCCTCTTCCCCTCCTGCCCATCCCCGAAGCCGTTCAGACCCTGGTCTCCCAGCCCCCCGCCTCCCCCAGAAGCAGCGGGCACCCTGGGGCCCCCGCACCCCTCACAGGGTACCAGGACCCTGGGGCCCTCCTGAGCCTCTCCTGCTCTACAGAGCATCCCCACCAGCCTATGGGAGGGGGAATGAGCACCATCGAGGGTCTTTGTACAGAAATGGGGGACAGAGAGGGGAGGGGGCTGGTCCCCCACCCCCTTACCCCACTCCCAGCTGGTCCCTCCACTTGGAGGGTCCAACCCGGAGCTACTGCTGAACTAGAGCAGAAAAGGGCCCCCTCCCTTTCCTTTGCCCTCTGGACCTTGGCCCGAGCAATCCCTTGTTTTGTATTTTCTTGACCTCCTTCTACCCCTACCCCAGGTTTCTAACTTTGTAACTTGCTTCTTATGTAGGTCCCCAACCTAAAATCATAGTCTCCCTACCCTGGGTTACAGGGTATGCCCCTCTGCCCCTGCCCTGCTGGAGGCCCTCGCACAAATCTGAGGGAGGGCTAGGCTGACACCCCGTCCTCCCTCTCCTTCCAGAAGCCCTCAGCCTGTCCTGACCTGTGCACAGGGGGCAGGGGGACAGCCCCTGCCCATCTCTTCCCATGTGCCCCACTAAATCATTCTGACGTTAATGAATAAAAAGGGTGGAAACATGGCTGCTGGTGTCACACTGGGGCCAGACTCAGTGAAGGAAAAATCAGACAGATACGGGGCTTCACACTTTTTCTTTCCTTGGGGCAGACACTGTGGGAAATCTGCAGGGAGGGACTGTGAGCTCCCTAGGAATCTGGGCCAGGAGTGGGGCTGAGGCTGGGCTTGTCTCCCAGGTGGCATCCATTCTGCAGCTCTGCCATGATCTCCTCCAGCAGATCCATCCTGGGGCTGGGTGGACAGGGGTACACCCAGGGGTTACCTCAGGGATGAGGGACGGAGGGAGGGAGGGAGGGAGAGCCCGGGGGTCCCCCACCAGGGCTCCCTGCTTACTTCCGCAGGCTGGAGACAAGGCCTCCTCTCATCAGTTCTGTACTGGGTGCCTGCAGGAGAGGAGCTGGAGCTGCCACTGAGTGGAGCTGGGCGGGTGGGAAGGGGCCCTGGATGGCCCTTCCTGCCGGAAGCCTCCCCGGGTATGGGAGGCCTCCCTGGGGGTCAGGAGACAGGGTGGGCTCACAGGGCTGAGGGTTCCAGTGGGGCAGCCCTGGGTGTGCCGCAGCAGCCCCTGCAGGGCTTGGATCTTGACTGAGAACTTCTGTTAAACTGCTCCACAGAGCTTGAGGGGAGACTGCTTCCTGAAGGCTGCAGGGCATGGCAGGGCCTTGGGGAAAGCAGGGTTGGTTGGGCTCACAGGTCACTGAGGAAGGGGACAGCTGAAAGCCCCTAGGGGTCACTGGCCAGAGGTAAGGGAGCCAGGGAACTACTGGGAGTGGGGAGTCACAGGTTGGCAATGGGCGCCAAGGGGTGTCCATACTGTTGCACTGGTCTCCAGGCAGCAGTGCAGGCTGACCCTGTCTGTGGGGATGTGGCTGGGGCCAGGGCTGGGGCTGGGACTAGGGCTACTGCCTAGAGTCAAGCTGCTGCCCGAGTCCCAAGCTGTGCCCCTCTGCACATGATGGTGGCCTGTGACCTCAGGTTTCTTCAGGGCCTGCAGAAAACAATGGCAGAGAGCCTATTGCCCAGGTGCCCCACACTTCCCCTGGTCCCCCAGATTCCTCCACTGGCTCCTACCTTGGATGGGACAGCACCTGGGGGCACAAGCCTAGCTCTGATCATGGTGCTGGGTGCTGCCTCACAGCACAGGTTCTCTGGAGAGACAGACCAGTTGGTTGGAATGGGAAGGCACAGCTGAGCTGTGCCCGCACACACCATGGCCCCTCCTTGCCCTCTCACCTGGTAAGGAGCTTGGTGGTCCAAGGGAGAGTGTTGTCCACTCCACTAGAGAGCTGACCTCAGGAGTAGGGTCCTGTGGGAAGAAGACTGGGGGTGGGGACATGGGCCCTGCTGGGCCTCCATGATGCCCCCTCCTCCAAGGACCTGCCTATACCTGGGCCATGGCCTCCCGCAGCAGGTATCGCGTGCTCTGCAGGCTGCCCCAGCGCTCAGCAGGTCCAATCCCCAGCCCAGCCTGAACCAGGGCCTGGTAGGGGGCTGGCACCAGAGGGTCCTGGGCTGGGCTCTCACCTGCCTCCAGTTTAGCCTTCACCTCCAACCCTGCTTTCCCAGCCCAGGGCAGCTCTCCTGTAAGGAAGTAGGATCAGGGGACCCACACTGCTGGGGTGCCTCTGTGGGGCAGGGCATAGGGTCACTGACCAGTGAAAACCTCCTGGGCCAGGATGCAGAAGCTGTAGAGGTCTGAGGTGGCAGTGGGCTCGTCACCACAGATCAGCTCAAGTGGCAGCCATGGGTAGAGTTCTGGAGGTGGGGGCAGCCCTGGGCCTGGACAAGCCTGCCGTGGTCTGTGGAGTTCAAGGGGCATGGTGAGCCAGGAGCTGCTGGAAGGGCCATGGGCAGGAGGGCAGGTAGGTTCTCACCTGAGCTGCAGCCAGGGAGGCCGAAGTAAGCGCCCATGCTCCAGGCTGCCCACCTTCACCAGGCCTGGCCGTACCAGCTGCACGGCATGGGAACTGAGGCCACCATGGGCCCAGCAGCGGGCCTGAAGGAACAGCAGCGCCTCCAGCACCTGCAGCAGCAGGCGGCCAGGCGGCAGGCCTGGCACTGTTTGGGACCCTTCCTCACTTGGTCTATGTGAGTGCAGCAGGACGTGCAGGGAGCCCAGCCACACGGGCTCAAAGAGGAGGCACAGCCCTGACAGGTCCACCGAGGGGCTCAGTGCCAGCAGCAGCAGCAGGCTAGGGTGGTGCAGGGTGCTGGGCAAGAGCAGAGTAGTCCCCTCAGGAGCAGGCCCCACCCCGCTCATGGGCACAGGCCACCCACCACAGACAGGGACGATCTACACCAGCCTCTACACTAGAGAGACAGACTCTCAGTCACACAGCCCATGGACCTGTCCACCACGCCCTCCTTGGAGCCTACAGGACACAGCACAGACCTGGTACCCACTCCACTGCGGGAAGGTGGCTCACTCCTGCCAGAGGGCTCAGACAGGTGCTGGCTCAGAGGTAGAGACTAATGCCACTGTGACTGTGCTACACTCCCTGGTACTAGCACGTAGACGCATGTGGGAGCAGGCTGGGCAGGGGAGGCCAGGACTGGGCACCTGCAGTGCTGAAGGTCAGCCAACAGCACATCAGGATGGGCTCCAGGGGTCTTCAGCTGCCGCACAGTCACAGGGTGGCCCCTCCACAGGAGGCTGGAGGTGGCACAGTGGGGGAAAGGACAGGGCAGAAGGTGGGACTGGCGTGCAAGGAGGGGGGCAGGGGCTCTGCAAGGGCACAGGAGGTGCTGCTCTCGTAGGTGCGGTCAGGCTCGCCCTGAGCCGGCAGCAGCTCCCGGGGTCCACCAGAGGAGTGCCCATTGCCAGTGCCACTGGCTGCAGGCTGCTCAGCTGGGGGAAGGGGCAATGTCATGAGGCACCAAGGGGACTGGTGGGCCCTGCTCCCCAACCTTCCCCACTTACCTGGCCAAACCCCAAGGCTGGAGGCTGAGGGGATCTGCCGATCTGCCCTGGCCTCAGTGCCCTGGGGTAAAGGGCAGGCTGCGGGTCAGTCAGGAGTGGCAGGATGTGGAGGGAAGGCGCGGTCCAGGGTGTGGACCGTTACCTGTCTGCCTGCACCGCCCGTCGTGAGGACAGGGAGCCACACAGGCTGTGCCCAGAGCTGGTCTGCGGCCGGTGCAGAGCTGCCAGGAGCACCGACATCCTGCCGTGCACTAGCGCTGCCAGGCGGGTGCGGCACAGCTGCAGCAGCTCCAGCACCTGGATGGGGGAAGGGGGCTGGGTATGGCACTGGCTCTGATGCTGCCGCCCGCCTCCAGTCCACTGCTCACCTCCCAGCTCTGCTTGGCACCACTCTGCTCAGCCCAGTCTTGAGGTGTGCGACCCTGCTGGTCGTGCAGACGCAGGTCACCACCTGCCTGCAGCAGAAGCAGCACCACCAGGCTACGGCCTGAGAAGGCACCTGCGTGTACTGGTGTGCTGCCGTCCAGGCAGCGGCTGGGCAGAGAGGATGAGGGTGGGAATGGATCAGGAGAGGCAGGGTGAGGGCCTTGGCCATGGGAAGTGTCCTGTGAACTTGGGACACGGCCTCAGGATGGGAGGGCATCCTGAGGAAGAACCGGGGTCTTTGAGAGATGCAAGGCTCACGGTGGGCATGGCGGCACCAGGAGAATGGTAACAGTCACTGGGGGGGAGGAGGGGCTAACTAAGAGGACAAGGACAAAACTAGGGCCTGCAGGGGAGTTGTGTCTGGGCTCTGAGCAGGCCCGGAGCATGGGGGTCTGTCCACTCACTGATTGGGGTTGGCACCAAAGGCCAGCAGGAGCTGCACGGCAGAGCTGCGGCCCAGCAGCGCAGCGAGGAAGAGTGCCGTCTGCCCAGCGGAGTTCTCGCCATCCACCTGGACAACTGAGGGGCAGCGAGCCTTACTTGAGCATCCCTGCCCCAGGCTCCTGGGGCAACACTTGCCAATTCCTAGCCTCTAATGTCCCTCCTTGGCTAACTGATCCTTGACCCCAGGTATCATCTCTGTGACCTGGAACCTCTGCCCTCCAGTTGCTGAGAACTCTGCCTCAACACGGTGCATCAGGAATCACCAGGACATCCACGGAGGAGGAACAAGAGGTGACATCTGTCTGCCACACAAACATCCATCCCCCATCTCAGAAGTGTTGAAATCACACGAAGGTCCCCAGGAGCCAGGAGGAAGGGGACTTCATGGAGTCTCATGCACTGTGCAGGACAGCCAGCCTCCACACACTCAGCTGTAACTTGGTGTTGTACATACAGTCCCATGTGGCCAGCCTCCAAATCTTCCAGAAAAGCAAACTCTGGATTTTACCAGGAGGTCTTTCACTTAGTGTTTTGAACACTTCATTTAAGCGCTAAATCCAGATAGCAACCCCCACCCCTGCACCCCCATGTCCATGCTTGTGTCAATGCCCCCAGCATCCTACTCAGATCCCCACTCCTGGCCACCCACCTTCTGCCCCAAGCCCTGTCTCTTCTCCCACACTCCACTTCCTCTGTCTCTAGGCCCTATCCCAAGGAGGGCAAAAGCATGGTGTCCTTGGCTTTGCACACCTATCCAATCATGCATGTGGTCCAATTCACCTTGGCCTCTGCCACAAAATCTATCCAAATGTGAGCCTTCCACATCTTGAATGCCACATCACTGACTGTGTCACATTTTACTCATTAGCCTGCCACCTTTGCAATGGCTTCCTAGCTGGTTCCACACTCATCTTGATCACAAAGACATATATATATATATATATATATATATATATATATATATTTTTTTTTTTTTTTTTTTGCGGTACTGAGGTTTGAACTCAGGGCCTACACCCTGAGCCACCCCAGAAGCCCTTTTTTTGTGAAGGTTTTTTTGAGATAGAGTCTTGCCAGTTATTTGCCTGGGCTGGCTTCGAACTGCAACCCTCCTGATCTCTGCCTCCTGAGTAGCTAGGATTACAGATGTGAGTCACCAGCACCTGGCCAAAGACATCTTCTTCTTCTTTTTTTTTTTTGAAAGTAAAAATTT